GTGCAGTGCGATCTTCTCGATGAATTTCCGCGGATTGTTCAAAATCGCCATCATCATCACCACCACCACCTCCTCCTCCTCCTCCTCCTCCTCCTCCTCCTCCTCCTCCTCCTCCTCCTCGCCCCCGCCACTTGCCTGCGCCACTGCGCAAGCACTGGCTGGGCCCCCTAATTTTGTATTTTATACGAAATTAGCCAGGTGTGGTGGCACATGCCTGTAGTCCCAGTTACTTGGGAGGCTGAGGCAGGAGAATGGCTTGAACCCAGGAAGCAGAGGTTACAGTGAGCCAAGATCGTGCCACTGTACTTCAGCCTAGGTGACAGAGCAAGACTCTGTCCCCCTCCCCCCCAAAAAATAAGAATTATGAGGAGGATAAAATATATCACCCTGGGTGGGAGAGAGAGAAAATTAATATTAGTCGAGCAGAGAGAACTTTTTTCTTCTGCTTTGGAGGAAACGGTGAAAACTTGGGAGTGCAAATGGAGAACAGGATACCACCCTTGGGAGTTCCTGTCCTTCACAGTAAAATGCAAATTTTCTCTGGGAATTTCTGGGAATAACAATGAAGAGAAGTGCCACAGAGCTCCTGCAAGAGCTCCATTTTACTTGCACGAATCTGTAAACAGGCCCATTGGCCATATTTCCATTACTTCTCCAGGAACACTCTCCATGAGAGATTGGATCAAAGGGCTAATCTAGATTTAGGTATTGACTTGGATCAAGCAAAAAGACTGAGGTTAAAAGTTTGCTAGTCGAGTCAGCATTTAAATGTATAAAAGCATTTTTGGCTAGTGATCTGTTTCAGCATTCAGAATCCTGACACTTCAGTGAGAGGGAGGTGCACCCAAAGGTAGTTTAGCAAAGAGGATTAGCAAAAATCTAAACTTCTTTGTGCTCCATTCCGTGTCATCAATACTACTGTAATAAAATGAGGACATATTTCTCAGCCATTGCTTTGACTCTCTGTAGAGAGAGTTGCAAGATTGGCCATTGAGGTTAGACATTGTCTACTTGAATCAGCACTGCTGATTAAAAGTGGGAGGTGGCAAGGAAAGAGAAAGGAGGGCAGAGAGGAGAGAGGTTAAATCTTTCCCTCCTCTGAGGGAAGGGAGAGTATATATTAACCCTTGGTGATGGGAGAGGGCAGGCTTCCTGTGGTGGACAACTCTGAAGTTGTCTGAAAGGCAATACTAATAGTTGACTAGAAGGCATTGAGATGTTTTATATAAAGCACGTTAGAGAAGTATTTTCCTTTGCAGGAACCATTTCTTTCCTTTGCAGAATGAAAGCACAATCAAGTCTTATTTTAACTGCCTAGGGATAAAAAGTCTGGCAGGCATGCTGCACTGTATCACTTTAGTCCTGCATATCAATATAGTGATCTCAGTAATGACAAATAGTGACAAAAATTTATTTGGAGAATATATAGATATATATTTGGAGAATGTGTGTGTGTGTGTGTGTGTGTGTGTGTGTGTGGGTCCATTCTGGGTTTTTTTACTTTGCTCAGGAAGGAGAAACAGTTGTTTTCACTTCATCCCAAATACCAAGTGAGTGCTTTTGGTTCATCTCAGGCACTCATTGCAGTGACCACAGCTGCCAGTCAGGATACAGTGGTATCCTGTACCTAGGAGTATATTTTCCCTTCATATATTCCCTTACCTACCAATAAGGGTTTCACTGGAATAAATTAAGCCAAGAATGTGAAGTATTGTGGACTTTATCTGTATTATTGCTATATAACAATTGACCCAAAGCTTAGTGGCTTGAAACAATAATAATTTACTATTTGTCAAATTTTTAGAGTTGCCTTGCTCAGCTGGAGGTGGTTCTTCTCCACTTGGGATCTGCTGAGGTTGCTTATGCTGTTGTAGTCATCTGGAGGCTTATCTGGGGCTGGTTGAACCAAGATAGCTTCCTCTACATGTCTATTGGTTGGTGCTGGCTTCTGAGTCTGCATGGTCTCGCCAGATGTGCAGCCAGTTCTCTCTACATGGTGGCTGAAGATCCCAAGAATGTATAGGAAAGCTGCAAAGCTTCTTAAGGCCTGTATTCCAGCATTCACACTGTGTCACTGACACAACACCAAGCATAGGCCAGCCCAGTCAAATGTGGGAGAGAACTTAACTGCCACTTATCAATGAGATGAATTGTTCTATGGCCGTTTTTAATCTCTTGCAGAGTAATTAAACACAATTCCATCTGTAAAATGCCTTATAGTGTATCTGGCACAAAGCAAATTATTTTCAAAATGCTTATTGTTTTTATAATTATCATTACATATGAGCCTTTTCCTTCTGAATAAAAAATATGTTTTGTGGGTAAGGAGGTGGGTGAGTTTTTCTTTAGATGAGCTGAAAGTTGATCAGAATATCTAACACAAAAAAATAAAACCATCTGGCTGGGCATGATGGCTCATGTCTGTAATCCCAGCACTTTGGGAGGCCGAGGCGGGTAGATCACTTGAGATCAGGAGTTTGAGACCAGCCTGGCCAACATGGTGAAACCCTATCTCTATTAAAAACATAAAATTAGCCAGGCATGGTGGCACCTGCCTGTAATCCCAGCTACTTGGGAGGCTGAGGCAGGAGAATCTCTAGAACCCAGGAGGCAGAAGTTGTGGTGAGCTGAGATCGTGCCATTGCACTCCAGCCTGGGCAACAAGAGCAAAACTCCATCTCAAAAAAAAAAAACATATATATATATAAAATAAAAAATACAACCATCCATATAGGATTCATTGAACTAGTATTAAAACTAAATATACATGTTGTAGAAGAATTTGGACATTTCAGAGAAATGTTCAGTTGAAATGTGACAAATTTGGCAGACTTAAACTAGGAAAAAGCAAATGAAAGATTTAAATTGTATTGATATGCTTTGGATTTGTGTCCCCATCCAAATCTCACGTCAAAGTGTTATCCCGTGTTGGAGATGGGGCCTGGTGAGAGGTGATTGGATCATGGAGGATTTCCTCCTTGCTGTTCTCATGATTGTGAGTTCTCATGAGACCTGGTTGTTTGACAGTGTGTAGCACCCCCCACACAAACCCTTCGCTTTTTCTCCTGTGCTGGCCATGTAAGATGTGCCTACTTCTCCTTTGCCTTCCCCCAATAATTGTATGTTTCCTGAGGCCTCCCCAACAGCCTGAAAGACCATGAGCCAATGAAACCAAATTATTACAAATTACCCAGTTTCAGATAGTTATTTATAGCAATTCAAGAATGGACTAATACAGGTATAAAATATTCAAAATGTCCCACTCACAAATTTCTGAAGATTTAAGAAGTATCGCCTCCTCTTTCGTATTTTATCTGGTTTTCATCATTGGTTTTTGTCTTTTCTTATATTGCATTTTTAGGAATTAGAGAATAAAATCCCAGCACGATGTTCCTCAGTGGAGACACCAGTCCAGCTGAGGACAGCAGAGGGGCTGCCCTTCTTCAGTGTTCGGTATGTGCTTAACATTGTATGATGGAGTGTACATGGGGAGCTTTACATTCAAGAATCATAAACATTCAAAATATCGAACACACAGTGACATACTTGGAGAGCCATAGGAAACACCAAAATGTCACTTTAATGACTTAACATTCTTAGTCACAGACAAATGTAGCTCTTCCCAGGGCAGGTGAGCAGAAGTGCTGAACTGTTTTCATGATAGTTTGGTTATATAATTGGTTATAAAGCACCATTCACCACTGTTAGCTCACTTTCTTTTTTTTGTTTTTTTTCCTTTAGGAAAAGGTGCATTAACCAAAGAATAATCCAGCCCAATTTCCAGGTTGAGGATTCCATGATATCAGTCCAAACATCACACTATTTAACTCCCCAATAAAACATTGGAAAAAAGATTATTAGTGCTAACACATTTACATATAAAATCTCTACTTATGTACCAATTTCTAAAACAGTTACAAGATAGATACACAATTTGGGGTAAACTAACAAAACAGACTATCATAAAATATTAAAGGCAATCCTCCTGGTCCACAGGCCCTTGTCACCTCTTACTTGAAGTTGGCATAACTGAGAATGCATTAATATATTCCTGCACCACCTTGTAGCAGAACTCATACTGGTTCCAGGGTCTGGACCATGAGTAGCCTCTGTAGCCACAAGCTCTCGACATTTTGGAAGACATCCAAAATCCCTTCTGCTTTCATACACGTTAGCTCACTTTCTATTTGTTGCCCTTGCAATAACATTGACTAGGATTGAAAGAAAACTCTGTATTGGACTAAATAACCTAAATTTTGGTTCTAACCTGAGACTGTGGCCTCTTTGACTTTCCAGTGTAAAGTCAAAGAAACCTCTTAGAAATGATGGGATTTGTAGGCAGTGTAGAATTTTAGATGGGGACAGGTCTTCTCCGGGATCTCTTACTGTTTTTTTCTGTCTACTATTCCAAGACACTCCATGAATGCAACCATTTGCTCTGGTCAAACATTTTGTAAGCAATGACTATTACAGCCTCCTCAGCACTGGATTCCTGAACATTCTGGGCTCTTTGAACACCAGGAAGAAGCTGGTGATCTGGCTCCCTTTCTTCCTTCAAAAAAGATAGCATTGTTCAAAGCAAGCAAAGGCCACAGTCTCCTACAGCTATTTCTCTCCATGGTCACTCATAGAATTTTAGAGTTGGAAAGATGACTTCAAGACTTTTGAGTTCAATTCTAACTGCCCAATTTTACGACAAGTATTTATAAGATGTGTCTAAATAATACATCTTTATGGGAATGAATCTGAGATTTGACCGCTCTGTTCTCTGTTCCACATTGCCACCGTTGACTTGATTTAGTTAGGCAAAGATATGTTCCAAAGGTAAAAATGCTTTTGTTTTTATGGTTGTTCATTGTCCTATGGTTATTTGTTATTTTTTATAGGGTTTGTGGGTCTGCCCAAATACTACATTTTGTCAGTCTCATGACTTGCCACTTTTTTTTGTCCACAGCTGCCAGAATTATATGCATGTATTGAACATTTTAATAAGGAGAGCAAGAAATCAAATCTTCTAAAAATACATGCTATTTCACTTAACGAAGCACAGGAAGCACTTGCTAAAAACCTGAATGTTCTGTCATTGACCAAGGGCACTGATGTGAGAAGAGATCTCCAACCCGTTAGCAGGTGCATAGTGGTTAACAAAGAGAAGAAGCCAGCATCCATGACTGAGCTCCTCTACCGCACCTTACTGGAGGGCTCACTGTCTCCAGTGGAGAGGCTCTCCAGGTCCCAGCAGAGGCTGTCACAGTGTGGGATCCCCCCTCCCAAGCACACTTTTCCTTATGAAATTCTCATTGATCACTCGAATGCCTTGGCCCAGGTTACCACACAGAAGAAGGTTCCAAGCACCAAAATCTTATGCAGGCTAGGCATTTCCAGTGCCACTACGGAAAAATTTTTCTTTGAAGATAAACTTCATAGATACTTCTTAGTTGACCCAGGTAATTTAAACAGATGAGGCCACGTGGCAGAAAAGGAATGGAAATCTCATTGCAAATTTACTAGAGCGGACATACTCAAATACTGACCTACAGCAATTTTGCAATTCTGGGGTTCATGGCTGAACAAGCCTGGGAAACATAGAAAGACCCCATCTCCACAACAAAAAAAATAAAAATTAGCTGAGCTAGGTGGCACGTGCCTATAATCTCAGCTACCTGAGAGGTTTAGGCATGAGGATCACTTGAGCACAGGAGTTTGAGGTGGCACTGGGCTATGATCACACCACTGCATTTCAGCTTGAGCAACAGAGCAAGAACCTGTCCCTAAAAAATGATAAATAGGCCGGCCTCGGTGGCTCAAGCCTGTAATCCCAGCACTTTGGGAGGCCGAGGCGGGTAGATCACGAGGCCAAGAGATCAAGACTATCCTGGTCAACATGATGAAACCCCATCTCAACTAAAAATACCAAAATATTAGCTGGGCATGGTGGCAGGTGCCTGTAATCCCAGCTACTCAGGAGGCTGAGGCAGGAGAATTGCCTGAACCCAGGAGGCAGAGGTTGCGGTGAGCCAAGATCGCGCCATTGCACCAGCCTGGGTAACAAGAGCGAAACTCCATCTCAAAAAAAAAAAAAAAAGAATAAATAAAAATAAAAATAAATTAAAATGCAGAACAGGGAATCCAGAATTCCGGGATATCCCAGATTCATTCTTAAAAAGATGTAATACATTCTTAGGCATGACACTTAAACTCTCCTTTACAAAATGAACCAGTTGAACTTGGACTCTAAGGCACGCATAGCTGTTTGTTTCTTATTACATGAAGTTAGTGCTATTTTTTTATTCTTCAATATCTTGGCTTTGATGCAATTAAGGGCTATTTTTAAGAGATTTTTTTCATGAATCTTTATTCTTTCCTTATTAATACATTTCTAGCAGAGTTTTTAACAGAGGCCACCAACAACAGGAGGAAATGTTGATTTCTGATTCTTTAATAGAGAGGTGCCTATAAAAGGCAAAGGATCACACAAGTTTAAAATATATGAAATGTACGATGCTGAATTTTAATGAGAAGGGAGTGTCTTACACTCTAGGTCTCCATTTTACTTATATAATTTGAGAGAGGTAATGTGTTGTCATTTTGTTAATACATCACATCAATTTGTAATAACCTTCTGAAGTAGGTTCTTGTTTCAAAATAAGACCATTTTCACAGCAAATATGACATCACCATTTTTATATTAAAAGTAGCGGGATGGGGCAACATGGTAAAACCCTGACTCTACAAAAAAAATTTAAAAATTGCCAGGCATGGTAGCATGCACCTGTAGTCCTAGCTACTTGGGAGGCTGTGGCAGGAGAACTGCTTGAACCCAGGAGGCAGCGGTTATAGTGAGCCAAGATGGTGCCACTGCCCTCCAGCCTGGGGAACAGAGCAAAACTCTGTCTCAAAAAAAAAAAAAAAAGGAAGAGGCAGAAGGAGCAGATTTAAAGGAACAGATTGATTACTGTGAGTATATTTGGTCCAAGAAGTTGAAAGAGTCTTTGCCGTAACTCCACACGTTAATGTCTTAACAGAGCCAAATGCAGGTTCCTTTCAGAGTCCTACTTTGTGTGTTTGGAGCCTAGGTAGAGGTGCAGTAAAAGCAATCATAGGACCGGCCTAGATAATTCACAAAGTACACAAGTAAAGTCTGGGACCAGAGAGGAAAAATCATGAAAAGTGTTGAGACTCAGTAAGAAGAGCTAGTCAAAAACCTATTGGAGAAGGTTTTTGGATGATTGATGGGGTCTTGAACATTTATGACTTTGCCATCCATAGGGGCCAAGTTTTTCTTTCTTCCTAATGCATGAATTACCTGCTGTTACCTAACTTCTGGAGGTCTCTGATTTGGCCTCACAAACTCTGTGTTGGAGTCTCTTCTCTGCCTCAGTATCTTCATTTCCTGAGATCCTGGAGGTAAATTTCTGGTACATGTCATGTCTATTCAAGAAATATGCATGGAACCGGGCAGGCATCTATGTGAAGGATATCCAGTAATCCCTTAGGTATAATTGGTATTGCAACAATTAATCTCTCCTACTTAGTCCAGAAAACCTTTAGGATCCTGGTATTCCAAAGTATACTACAGGACATATCCCTATTAGCAACATGCACTGATGGAGGAAAAGGGAGTTTTGCTCTTCTCCTATTGTATGAGCTCCTCTTATTCAGGCTAAATCTTGTAGAATCATGTAGGTTAGGAATGTGTTTGACCAAAAATAACAGGAAAACTAAAGAGGGGTTATTTTTCTTATATAGTTAGAAGTCTAGGGGTATGCAGAGAATGGCTGGAACAATGCTTTTTATCTCTCTATTTAATGAACACATTGTAATTGTACACATATGGAATATGGAATACAATATATATTTCAATAGATATATATGTTGTATAGTGATTGAGTCAGTGTAGTTAGCCTGACCATCATGCACTTACCATTTCTTTGTGGTGAGGCCTTTTTTTTGAGACAGAGTCTCACTCTGTCACCGGGCTGGAATGCAGTGGCCCAATCTCAGCTCACTGCAACCTCCACCACCTAGCTTCAAGTGCTTCTCTTGCAGCTGGGAGTACAGGCGCCTGCTACCACGGCCAGCTAATTTCTGTATTTTTAGTAGAGATGTGGTTTCACCATGTTGGCCAGATGGGCTCGATCTTCTGACCTCGTGATCCACCTGCCTCCGCCTCCCAAAGTGCTAGGATTACAGGTGTGAGCCACCACGCCTGACCTGTGGTGAGGACTTTTAAAAACCTTCCTTCTAGCTACTTTGTAAGATACTGTACTTTATTGTTAACCATCCTTACCCTCTGTGTAATAGAACACCAGAATTAATTCTTATCTAACTGTAACTTTGTTTTAAATTAATTTTAATTTTTTTGAGACACTCTGTCACCCAGGTTGGAGTGCAATGACACAATCTCAGCTCACTGCAGCCCTGACCTTCTGAGCTCAAGCAATCCTCCCATCTCAGCCTCTCAAATAGCTGGGACCTCAGGTGCATGCCACCATGCCTGGCTAATTTTTGTATTTTTTGTAGAGATGGGGTTTCACCTTGTTGCCCAGGCTGGTCTTGAACTTCTGAGCTCAGGTAATCTGCCTGACTTGGCCTCCCAAAGTGCTAGGATTATAGGCCTGAGCCACCACTCCTGGCCCATTTTAAATTTTTTTGAGTTGGTATCTTGCTACATTGCCCAGGTTGGCCTCAAACTCCTGGGCTCAAGAAATCTTCCTGTTTCAGCCTCTTCAGTAGCTGGGACTTCAGGTGCATGCCACTACACAGGGCTTCTAATTACAACTCTGAACCCATTGATTTTCTCTCCCCATCTCCTGCTCCTTCTCTGTCTCTGGTGACCATGATTCCACTCTCTGTGGAGCCGTGCTTTCAAATGCTTCCAAGGACCTGGGCTCTGCCATTGTTTCATCTGTACCTTTTGCTTTCATGTCCAAAAGACATCACATTTATTCTCAGGTACTGCGGCCACATTACAGGCAGGAAGAGGTGGGATAGGATTAAGGTCCACATTGATACTTCTGTTCTCTTTTAATAGGGAAGGAATGATTTTCTAGAACACCTCTCCCTAGGCGACTTCTTTATACATCTTGGCCAGTATTGTTTCCAATCATCACCCCTTCCTGCAGGGAAGGCTGGTGAATAGAGTTCTTAGCTCCCCTGTCTATAGCAGAGGAAGGCAGAAGAGGATTGCAGTGTATATCGAGTAAGCCAACCTAAAGTGACTGTCAGAGATCATGACATGAAGTTCTTTTATTTTTTTTTTGAGACAGAGTCTTGCTCTATCACCCAAGCTGGAGTGCAATGGCACGATCTCAGCTCACTGCAACCTCTGCCTCCTGGGTTCAAGTGATTCTCCTGCCTCAGCCTCTTGAGTAGCTGGGATGACAGGTGCCCAGCACCAGCTAATTTTGTATTTTAATAGAGGTGAGGTTTCACCATGTTGGCCAGGCTGGTCACTTTGGGAGGCCAAGGCAGGAGGATAACCTGAGATCAGGAGTTTGGGACATGAGGTTCCTTAGTCACCAAAATCATCAGCTCTCAGACCTTCTCTTGTCAAAGATCCCCTTCCTTCCTTTTGCCACTTCTTGCTATGCCAGGCCTACAAAGGTCTTGTCAAACTCCCTGAAACTTGGCAACTGGCCTTATCAATGGACTATTGAACACCATGGCCAGACGTAGTATTCTACTTGGGGAGGTATGAGCCCAAGGAAAGTCGCTGGCACCTGTCTTCTACTTCAGGCATGGACAGAGTCTATATAAAGACTTTCTACCACAAAGGCCCAGGCCCTCCCAGTACAGGGAGGGAGGACTAATTGGGGTGGGGTGGTGTCTGCTCAGTCTTTGAACTACAGGTGACCTGCTCAAATGTCACCACATGGGGGACGGTAGTCACCCACCAGAATAGACTAACCCTCCTGCTCGTCATCTGCTGTGACCATAATTCTCCTTATACTTGTCTTGGTGGCCCATTGACTCCTGGTTTCACACTCAAGCCCCTGCCTTCAGCCTTGCTTGTGTTGTTTTCAGCATTACAGTGTATTTAGCCATGAAACGGGGGAAGAGAAGGGAAAAGGGAATGGCTGCTGGGGAGGGAACATGCGTTGTGTCTTTACTTGATTCTTTCTCCTTGGCTCATTGGCTCCTTGAAGGAATTGTAACTGCTAATGACACCTCAAGCTTATGGATCCTGAACAAGTATGGAGAATGGCCAGATTACAGCTGAGCCACTGCCCTTTTATAGTTAGGGCTTCCATTAGCATCTTGGAAGAAATAATGCTAACAATCTGTGCACTTCTGACCATCTTTCTCCCTGGTTTAGGATCCTTTTCTCCTCCCTGCTGCTCTCATTGCTCTGTAGAGCTTTCCGTTTGCACATTCTGTTAGGATCCAAGCACAGAATGAGACACTCCCTCCACCTACCTGGCCCTGCAGGAGTCCACTCAAGCCCAGTTAGCCAGATACACTCAATTCCTGTTTAGGAGCATGCTTCACATGAAATAAACACCACAGGGTCTCCCTTAAGTTTATAAAGCTTTAGGACAGGCGCAGTGGGTCACTCCTGTAATCCCAGTACTTCGGGAGGCAGAGGCGGGTGGATTACCTGAGGTCAGAAATTTGAGACCAGCCTGGCCAAAATGGTGAAACCCCATGTCTACTAAAAACACAAAAAAATTAGCCAGGCATGGTGGCGTGTGCCTTTAATTCCAGCTCCTTCGGAGGCTGAGGCAGGAGAATCACTTGAATCTGGGAGGTAGAGGTTGCAGTGAGCTGAGATTGCACCATTGCCCTCTAGCTTGGGCAAAAAAAGCAAAACTCTATCTCAAAAAATATAAATAAATAAAAATAAAGCTTTATAAATGGCTTTCTGCCAGAAAGAGGGGACTCAAGTTCCTCAAAGGTTTGTTCTGTCCATGAAGCATCTCTGAGTCATGAAAGGTTGAATAACAACACCACACCATGTGATTCTTTGAAAATATGATTCTTTTCAGAAAAACAATTCATGGATCTAAGGGATCTGGAGTGGAGATATTTTAAGGGGATTGTGAAGTGGAGGCACACTACTGCAATTTCATTCACAGGCATAAAATACAACACTGAGAAGAGATTTGTAGAGAGCCGGGACATGCCTGATGTTATTTTCCCCCCTATAGTTCGCAAGTCTTTGGTCATTTATCCTCAAATTGATCATCAAGATGAAGGAATAAATTTATTCTCTTAAATGGAATATATAGTGTATTAAAATGTTTTGGGCATAGATTTCTTCTTTTGAGAGCATTGAATTTATGGGTGAAGAAGCCAAGCACCCAATAGAACATCTGAACTGAGTGTGTACAACACACATGAAGGTGTATTATAAAATTAAGTCATTATTATGGAGCAAAGGGTCCAATTTAATCTGTTCATGTAAGAAGTGGTTTGAACTGTGCAACCCATCTGGACCAGGGCTAAAGTAAATATAGGTCATATGAAAAGAAAGTGTGTCTGAAGAATACCGAAGCAAGAATAGCCCTTTAAGGAATTGTAAGCACACAAGGAAGTTCATTATCATAAAAGTATTTGACAAATTCAACAAATAAATTAACAACTGAGGATATAGAGATCAATATGAGAACTTAAATATATTAACTTCCCAAAGACAAAGAAGGAGACAGCATCTCTGAAATAAGAACAGGAAGATTTGAAAAAGAACAAATTGGAAATCTTGGACGTAAAAGATATAGTCATTGAAAATTATAATAATAACCTTTGATAATTATCTCAGTGGTACTCCAGATATATCTGAAGAGAGAGGGCTAATAAGTTGGAAGACAACATTGAAAAGCTTATAGATGATAGCGCAGTAAGACAGAGAAAGAAAAGTATTGGAGAATGGAATGAGAACTTCAGAAATGTATACAATGGAATCAGCAGAAAAAAATAGAATGAAAATGAAGTGATATTTGAAAATAAAATGACAAAAAAAACTCAAGAAACATATGAGACCTTGAACTGAAAAATGTCAGACTGATTAGCAACATATTGATAGTAGATCTATACCTAGAAACACTGTGTAGCAAAACTATAGACCACTAAGCCATAAAGAAAAATATAATCTACAAAAAAGTGATGGACTACATACAAAGAAATGACAAATTGACAATAGAACTCTCATTAACAATAGACATCAGAAGGCAATAGTGTCATGTACTCACAATGCTGAAGGAAAACAACTATCTGAAATTCTATAAGCAGCCAGACTCTTTCTGAGGAATAGGGGTAAAATAAATACGTCAAAAAATAGATGAACCTAGAATGTTTACCCTCCATAATGCTTGCTTAAAAAAACTACTAATAAAGTATGCATTTTAGTAAGAACCCAGAGGGAATGCAAGAAATAATGGCAAACAATTAAACTGTTGACAATATATGTGTCTGTGATTGTATAGATATTAAAATATATTTCTGGAGTCTGTTTCCTAATATTTTTAAAAGTTGTCTCTATATAAGTGAAATTATTCTGTAGTCTCCACTTTTTGCACTATTTTTTAAAACAAGATTTTGGCATTAAAATTTATGCTGGCATCTGGGCACAGTGGCTCACGTGTAATCTCAGCACTTTGGGAGGCCAAGGTGGGCAGATCACTTGAGGTCAGGAGTTCGAGACCAGCCTGGCCAACATGGTGAAACCACATCTCTACTAAAAATACAAAAATTAGCTGAGTGTGCTTGGGTGCCTATAATCCCAGCTACTCAGAAAGCTGAGGCAGGAGAATCACTTGAACCCTGGAGGTGTATGTTACATTGTGCCCAGATCGTGCCACTGCACTCCAATCGTGGCGATAGAATGAGACTCCATCTAAAAAAAAAATTATGCTGGCTTCAGCACAGTGACTATCTTCAGCAGAAGATACTGTCTAAAATCAACATGGGGTAGGTATTTGGGGTGCAAAAACTGTTCTGGTTTTTAATCTTTTGCATAGGTGTGTTCAGTATGCAAATATTCCTCAAGCTACACACAACTATTAATTTTTCTCCATGCATATTATGTTTAAAAAAAAGGTTTTGGAGCCAAGAACAGTTGTTTACTCCTGTAATCCCAGCTATTGAGGAGGCAAAGGCAGGAGGGTTGCTTGAGACCAGGAGTTCAAGATCAGCCTGAGCAACGTAGTGAGACCCTGCCTCTAAAAAAAAGTTACAAAAATTAGCTGGGTATGATGGTATGCACCTGTAGTCCCAGCTACTTGACAGGCTGAGGCAAGAAAATTTCTTGAGCTTAGAAATCGAGGCTGCAGTGAGTCATGATCATACCACTGTACTTCAGTGTAGGCAACAAAGCTTTAAAAAAAAGCCAACCAAATAGTTTTTTAAGAGTTATGCTAGCTTTATAAAATGAATTGGGAAGTTTTTCATCTTTTTTAAGGTCGCAGATATTTAAACAATATTAGACATATTGAAGTCTAGCCAGAACTCAGCTATAAAACCATCTACTCTTGATATCTGTTCTTGTTTTTATGAAAATGTTTAAACATTCATAAGAATGAATAGGATTCTAGAATGAATTTGCATATTTCCATAATCTAGATTCAACAGTTATTAAGATCTTACCACGTTTCATCTGTTCCTTTTGTTGTGTTTGCTGAACTACTTTAAAATAAACCAAAAAATCTTAGACCCCATGTCTCAGATGTTACTTTTGTTTGCATCGTAGAAAAATATGGACATTTTCTCTCATAACCACCATGTGTTATTTACTAAGAAAAGTTAACAATTCCTTGGTACCATCTTGGTTTCTATATTCAAAGTCACCTTATTATAACACTGTCTTTTTCTAATTGGCTTATTTGAATCAGTATCCAAGCAAGGTCTGAAGATTGCGTTTGATTGTTAGGTCTCTTAAGATTCTTTTAGTCTAGAGAAATTTCTCATTTTTTTCATGTAGTTGACTTACTGAAGAAATAGGTCCAGTGACCTGTAGAAGGTCCCGCCTTCTAGATTTGTATCCTCATGGTGTTTAACTTGTTCTTCTGTCACATATATTTATTTAAAAATAAATTGATAGATTTATTTCTTATAAAGTGGATGTCTGATAAAGAGTTTGAGCTCACATCTTTTTGGAAAAAATAACTCGGGGGGTGGTGCTGTGTACTTCAGATTGCTGCACAGCACAAGGCAAATAATGTCTATGGTTCTCTTAGTGAGTTTAAGGATTCAGGTGATGGCAGTCTGATGCCTCTGTTTTATAAAGTCCCCATCAACTTTTCATCTAAAAGCTTTCATCCTTAGATGATGATGGTAGGCAGTGTTGAAGTCAAATAAAATATAGAAACACGTATCTAAATTTAAAACATTTTATTTGGGAAGCAAGAATTGCAATTTGAGTCATATACACATACCAGGTTGCCTTCAGTGTGTCCAAAGAACAAAGAGAAGGTTGCAGGTTTTATAAAAAGAAGAAATGTTACACATTGTTCTGAAAGATGGCACTAGCAAAGTTTTGGAGAACTGGCAAACTCTAATTGGTGAGTGACCACGGTGGCTAAAACCAGTCTTAGAGTCTAAGCAGGTTGTTCCAGTTGCCATTAGATAAAACTGGTTTTAAGTTATAGCAGCCATTTCAGCATCCAGGCTTGCAGAGAATGGTGTTCTTGGAGCAATGTTATGTGTCTTAATGCTTTTGCTCCTGGCCCCTCAACTCTGATTTAGTTAGGCATGATAAGAATGATCCAATTTGTATGATCAACTTTTATAGCAGCCTCTAAGAGCTTCCCCATGATCCCTGCCTCCTGCTATTGCCTTTCTGTGTAGTCTCCTTTCCTTGACTCTAGGCTGAACTTAAGACTTCTAGAATAGAGTGCAGCAGGGGTGATGGGATGTCACTTCAAGAATAAGCTAGCAAAAAGTCTGTGGATTCTACCTTGGACATCTTCTCTTGCTCTCTTCTTCACTGCTAGCTCTTAGAGAATCCAGCTGCCATCTTGAGAGATGCCCTATGGAGAAGCCCATCTGGCACGTACCTGTTGTCCCTGGCTAACAGCCCGCAAGAACCTGAAATCTGCCAACAACCTCGTGAGTAAGCTTGTAGGTGAATCCTCCCCAACTCAAGTCTTAAGATGACCGCAGCCCCCATTGACATTTTGACTGTAGTGTTGAGACTGAACCAGGACACCCTGGTGAGCCATCCCGACTCCTAACCCACAGAAACTGTGAGATAATAAACGTTTGTTGTTTTAAGTTGCAACATTCTGAAGTAATCTGTTACATAGCAATAGATAACTCATACTATGACCTTTGCCTCAATTATTTCATTAGTGGTTACTGGTTCGCGATTATCTAACTCTGCCATTAATTCCACATTTATTAGTTGGAAATTATTTGTCAAGAAAAACTTTTCCTCATCAACTAGAGCTATTTAATTATACTGAAATACAGCCTGCAAGAAAGCAGGTTAATGGCTTACGTTTTTTCTGTTGTCAGTTTTTAGATTAAGGGCTGATGTTCTAATTACTTCCAAAGGTTGCCAAAGAAGTGTTTCTTTCTCTCTTTTAAAGTAGTATTGTGGCCGGGCATGGTGGCTCATACCTGTAATCCCCGTGCTTTGGGAGACCAAGGTAGACAGATCACTTGAGGCCTGGAATTCAACACCAACCTGGCCAACATGGCAGAAACCCCGTCTCTACTAAAATTTAAAAATAAAAATATAGGTTCTGTGAGATTTATGCTTTAAGGAGGTTCTATTTATATTAGTCTATTTTCATGCTGCTGATAAACACATACTTAAAACTGGGAACAAAAAGAGGTTTTGATAGGTTGTGTCACTGTTATAGTTCAATTGAAAGGATCTTTTAATTTTCATCTTGATTGCATTGCCCCAGCGATCATTCAGGAGCAGGTTATCAAATTTTCATGTATTTGCATGGTCGTGAGGATTCCTTTTGGAGTTCATTTACAATTTTATTCCACTGTGCTCTGAGAGAGTACTTGATATAATTTCAGTTTTCTTAAATTGACTGAGACCTGTTTTGTGACCTATCCTATGATCTATTTTGGAAAATGTTTCCTGTGCTGATGAATAGAATGTATATTCTGCAGTTGTTTGGTAGAATGTTCTGTAAATATCTCTTAAGTCCATTCATTGTAGGGTATAGTTTAAGTCCATTGTTTCTTTGTTAACTTTCTATCTTGACCTGTCTAGAGCTGTCAGTAGAGTTTTGAAATCTTCTGCTATTATTGTGTTGCTCTCTCTCATTTCTTAGGTCTATAGTTTTATATGTTCGGGAGCTCCAGCAGTAGGTGTGTATATATTTAGAATTGTGATATTTTCCTGTTGGAGTAGTCCTTTTATCATTGTATAGTGTCTGTCTTTGTCTTTTTAAACTGCTGTTGCTTTAAAGTTTGTTTTGTCTGATATAAAAACAGCCGCTCCTGCTTGCTTTTGGTGTCCATTTGCATGAAATATCTTTTTCCATCGCCTTACCTTAAGTTTATATGAGTCCTTATGTGTTAGGTGAGAAACTTGGTTGGTGATTCATTCTGCCCTTTTGTATCTTTTAAGTGGAGCATTTAGGCCATTTATAGTCAATGTTAGTATTGAGATGTGAGGTACTATTCTATTCATCATGCTATTGTTGCCTGAATACCTTGTTGTTTTTTCATTGTGTTACTGTTATATAGGTTCTGTGAGATTTATGCTTTAAGGAGGTTCTATTTTGGTGTATTTCAAGGATTTGTTTCAAGATTTAGAGCTCATTTTAGCAGTTCTTGTAGTGCTGGCTTGGTAGTGGTGAATTCTCTCTGTCTGGAAAAGACTGTATCTTTTCTTCATTTGTGAAGCTTAGTTTTGCTGGATACAAAATTCTTGACTGATAATTGCTTTGTTTAAGGAGGCTAAAAATAGGACCCCAGGCCAGGTGTGGTGGCTCATGCCTGTAATCCCAGCACTTTGGGAGGCCTAGGCGTGTGGATCACGAGGTCAGGAGTTCAAGTCCAGCCTGACCAACATGGTGAAAACCCCGTCTCTATTAAAAATGCAAAAGTTAGCTGGGTATGGTGGCATGCCGCTGTAATCCCAGTTACTTGGGTGGCTAAGGCAGGAGAATCACTTGAACCCAGGAGGCAGAGGTTGCAGTGAGCCAAGATTGCACCACTGAACTCCAGCTTGGGCAATAGAGCAAGACTCCATTAAAACAAAACAAAACAAAACAAAACAAAACAAAAAACAGGTCTCCAATCCTTTCTAGCTTGTAGGGTTTCTGCTGAGAAATCTGCTGTTAATCTGATAGATTTTCCTGTAGCAATTACCAAATGCTTTTGTCTCATAGTTCTTAAGATTCTTTTCTTCATCTTGACTTTAGATAATCTGATGAGATGTGCCTTAATCTGATGAGATGCCTAGGCAATGATCTTTTTGTGATGAATTTTCCATGTGTTCTTTGGGCTTCTTGTATTTGGATGTCTAGATCTCTAGCAAGGCAAAGGGAATTTTCCTTGATTATTCCCTCAAATATATTTTCCAAACTTTTAGATTTCTCTTCTTCCTCAGGAGCACCAATTATTCTTAGGTTTGGATGTTTAATGTAGGCCCAAACTTCTTGGAGGCTTTGTTCATTTTTTTAAACTCCTTTTTCTTTGTCTTTGATAAATTTGGTTAATTCAAAAGCCTTGTCTTCAAGTTCCAAAGTTCTTTTTTCTGCTTGTTTTGAAGAGGGAGACCCAGGCATCTGAGATCAACTTCCCCTTTGACTATCACACTGCATTTCAATAGAAGAAAAGACTGACCGACTGGCGCCTCCTGTTTCACCTTCCTGAGGTGGCAGGCTTGGTCTTGGGGAAACTCTCCGGAAGGCACTATTTTTACTTAAAACAAGATCAAACCAGAAACCTTTTCATGTGTGAGTCCTAAAACTAAACCGGAACGCTTTCATATGTGATTCCTGAAACTGTAAACAGAAACCTTTTTCACATGTGAGTCCTAAAACTATAAACTGGAACCCTTTCATATGTGATTCCTGAAGATGTAAACAGAAACCTTTTTCACGTGTGAGTCCAAAAACTGTAAACTGGAACCCTTTCATATGTGATTCCTGAAGCTATAAACGGAGACCATTTTCATATGTTATTTCTAAAGCTATAAACCTAAGATTCTTCCACGTGTAATATCTAAAGTATAAGCCTATATAAAGGCAGCACCTTCCTTTGTTAGATGAGCTGAGCTTTGGACAAATTATTGCTCAGGCTCCCAGCTGAATAAAACTCCTTTCCTCCTGTATTTGGTATTCAGGAGATCCGTTTCCTGTGGCCGCTCCTGCTACAGTTTGATTCTATTGTGATACTTTCCAGTGTATTTGGCATTTCTCTAAGTGTGTCCTTGATTTCCAGAAGGTGTGATTGATTTTTATTTATACTCTCTATTTCACTGAAGAATCTCCTTTCATATTCTGTATCATCTTTTTTATTTATTTAAGTTAGACTTCACCTTTTTCTGGTGCATCCTTGATTAGCTTAATAATTGACTTTCTGAATTCTTTTTCTGTCAATTCAGAGATTTCATCTTGGTTTGAATCCATTGCTGATGAGCTGGTATGACCTTTTGGGATGTTAAAGAAACTTCTTTTGTCGTATTATCAGAATTGCTTTTCTGGTTCCTTCTCATACAGGTAGCCTATGTTGGAGGAAAGATCTGGGACTCAAGGGCTGATGTTCAGATTCTTTTGTCCCACAGGATGCTCCATTGATGTGGTGTTTTCTCCCTTCCCCTGGGAATGAGGCTTCCTGAGAGCCAAATTGTAGTGACTGTTTTTGCTATTCTGGGTTTAGCCACCCAGTGGAGCTACTGAGCTCCATGCTGGTACTCAGGAGTATCTGCAAAAAGTCCTGTGATGTGATCTGTCTTCAGGTCTTGCAGCTGTGGATACTGGCCCCTGCTCCAGTGATGGTAGCAAGGAAGTAAAGTGGGCTCTGTAGGGTCCTTGGTTGTGTTTTGCTTAGTGCACTAATTCTGTGTTGGTTGGCCTCCAACCAGGAGGTGGCCCTTTCAAGAGTGCATCAGCTGTGGTCCTATAGGGAGGATGCAAACTTGCCCTAGGGAGACCAGGTTAAGTATTCAGTTTCTCAGGTGGTTGGCAGGGCCATAGAGTTCCCGAGAGATTATAACCTTTGTCTTTGGCTACTAGGGTGGGTAGAGAAAGACCACCAGATGGGGGCAGGGATAGTGTGTCTGAGGGCAGCCTCTCCTTGGTCAGGGCTTGCTGCAGCTGCTGTGGGGAATGGGAGTGTGGTTCCCAGTCCAATTGAGTTATATTCCCAGGGGGATTGTGGCTGCCTCGGCTGAGTAATACAGGTCACCAGGGAAGTGGGAAAAGCTGGCAGTCACAGGCCTCACCCTGCCGCCATGCAGCCCACAGTCCTAGAGGCTGCTCTCATTTCCACCATGCCCTCCCAGTAGCACAGTAGAGTCTATTGGCAGGCAGCAGGTGATCAGAGATGACAACTTGCCCCAGGTCATAAGGCTCCCTGTTGAGAAAGCAAACAGATTCACAGGTTTTTGGCATCTCAGGGAACCTGAAGCTGTGATCCAGTTCCTTCAAAGGGTCTATGGATCTCTTTGATGGCTGATCCAAGAGATCCAAGATGGCTGATCGCTAACAGTTCGGGATTGTAGCTCCCAGTGAAAGTGCAGAGAACGAGAGGATGCCACACCTTCAGATGAATTTTCGTCACTCACGGACCAGAAGATTCCCAGTGGAGGGGCCCCACGGGTCGCCAAGGCGACTCTTGTGGCTGGCGCAGCGGTTTTGCCGGAGCCTCGGCATGGCAGTTCTTCATGCAGAGTAAATGGGAGGAGATTCCCGGGCAGAAGAGCACCATCAGTCTTATTGCTGCTGTTTTGGCCGGCACAGTGGGTTGCTTGGATTCCAGCACTGGGAATTAATAAACTGGGCATCCACTCAGAAACCCAACTAGAAAGGCGGTAATTGTAAAGACGACAGATGGAAAAATTTATAACAAAGGGAAGAAACCAGCCTAAAAAGGCTGAGAATACCCAAAATCAGAACCCCTCTCCCTCTACAGGGGATTACAGTTCCTCATCAGCAATGGAACAAGCCCTGATGGAAAAGGACTGTGTGCCATTATCAGAAGTAGGCTTCAGAAGGTGGATGATAAGAAACTTCTGGGAGTTAAAAGAACTTGTTCTAACCCAATGTAAAGAAACTAAGAACTTTGAAAAAAGGTTTGACGAAATGCTAACAAGAATAGACAATATAGAGAGGAATAGAAATGAACTAATGGAGTTGAAAAACACAACACAAAAACTGAGCGAAATATGCACAAGTTTGAATAGCCGAATTGATCAAGCAGAAGAAAGGATATCAGAGGTCAAAGACCTACTTAATGAAATAAAACGAGAAGACAAGAATAGAAAAAAAAGGATAAAAAAGAATGAGCAAAGTCTCCAAGAAATATGGGACTATGTGAAAAGACCTAATTTACATTTGATAGGTGTACCTGAATACGACGAAGAGAATGAATCCAAGCTGGAAAATACCTTTCAGGATATTATTCAGGAAAATTTTCCGAATCTAGCAAAGCAGGTCAATATTCAATCCCAGGTAATACAGAGAACACCACAAAGATATTCCTCAAGAAGAGCAACCCCAAGGCACATAATCGTTAGATTCACCAGGGTTGAAACGAAGGAGAAAATACTAAGGGCAGCCAGAGAGAAAGGTCAGGTTACCCACAAAGGGAAGCCTATTAAACTTACAGCAGATCTCTCAGCAGAAATCCTACAAGCCAGAACAGAGTGGGGGCCAATATTCAACATCCTCAAAGAACAGAACCTTCAGCCCAGAATTTCATATCCAGCCAAACTAAGCTTCACAACTGAAGGAAAAATAATACCTTTTGTGAACAACCAAGTACTCAGAGATTTTATTACCACCAGGCCTGCTTTACAAGAGCTTCTGAAAGAAGCATTACACATAGAAAGGAACAACCAGTATTAGCCTTTCTAAAAATATACCAAAAAGTAAAGAGCATCAACATAAAGAAGAATTTACATCAACAAATGGATAAAACAGCCAGTTAACATCAAATGGCAGTAACCCTAAATTTAAGTCGACTAAATCTCCCAATCAAAAGATACAGCCAAAACCTAACAATATGCTACATCCAGACCCATTTCACATCCAAAGATACACAAAGACTTAACACAAAGGGATGGAGAAAGATTTACCAACAAAATGGAGAGCAAAACTAAATAAATAAAAAGCAGGAGTTGCAATTCTCACATCTGATAAAATAGATTTCAAAGCAACAAAGATATAGTGGTAAAAGGATCAATGCAACAATAAGAGCTAATGATCCTAACACCCAGATACATAAGACTCATAAAGAGATTTAGACACAACAAGACAGAAAATTAATAAGGATATCCAGGACTTGAACTCAGATCCGGAACAAGTAAACTCAATAAATATTTATAGAGCTCTCCATTTTAAATACACAAAATATACATTCTCCACCTTACACACACACACCACACACACACACACACACACACACACACACACACACACACACAGGGTCTGTGGATTCCCTTGGCTTTCCCAGAATGTTCCTGCATAGTTCTTGGAGCAAAAGTTTACGATGTGAGTCTCCAGAGCTGGAGGTATAAGCTAGTCCTGCCTCCTCTCTGCCATCTTATCCAGTATGCCTCTCTCTTTCTTTGTCTTTCTCTCTCTCTTACACACACACACACACACACACACACACACACACACACACACACACAGATTTCTCCTCTGTCTTCTTGGTGCAGCCTCCTCACCACTCCCCTAGGAGAATGAAATGCTTTTCATAAAGAAACTGAGGATGCCTGAAGCCCCTTGGAATGCCATGACTTCAGGCTCCCTGCTCTCCAGACAGCAGTCCTCACACTATTATTCACAGCAATGCAAGGAGACAGAACTGGAAGGTCATTTACAGACACCTGTCTGATTTTCAAAGTGTACTCTCAGGGCTTCCTGGGGAACCCACAACACTGAGTGTTCAGTAGGACCAGAGACACCAATAAACAGCGGCCCTTTATGTGTGACTCACTGGGGAGAGCAGCCAGCTGCCTTTTGAATACAAAGATGCTTCATAGCATTCCAAGGCATCTTCTTTCTCATGGTCACATTACCCAGGGCCTTTCTCCTCAGTTCAACTTTGCAATGTTCAGGTTGAACAAAATGCAACAGAGTCCCAGTAGAACTCATATAAGGAACTCCTTTGAGGATTGTGCAGAGAAGAACTAAAACCTACAGTGTCAACTTGGAAGAAAACAAGGAAGGCATCCATTTTCCTTTCTTTCATACCTGAAATTCAATAATTGACGTCTTAGGGAAACTAGAATGGCACTAATCTGAGCTAAGCCTATGACAAAATGAAATTTTTCCATCCTACTGCCTGGCCAGCTTCTATTTATCCTTCAAATTCCTGTTTGGGCATCACCAACCAAGGTATTTCAATGGATTGCTCCTGTTCTCTATCCCTCCCTTCATGCTGAGACTATGCATCCACCCTCTGCCTGATAACTGTGTCACCCTCCACTAGAGTGAGAAGCATGTATTTCTCTACTCCATGGATGTTGAGTTAGGACATTTTCATTTGTTCTGGCTGATGACACGTGGACAGACATGGGATCATGACAATTTCAAACCAAGCCTTTAGAGACATGGCATATGTCCTCTTGCATTCCTGCCATCTGCCATGGGAATATGTCCTGGAGTAGTCACTGGTTCAAAGTGGATGAGAACCCCATGAGCAAGTCTGATCCCCTTCCTACCAATGACCTTCAGACCATGGGTGAAAAAAAAATGTTATTGCAAGCCACCAAGTTTTGGGATGGTTTGTTGTGCAACATGACTGCCTCTAGTGAACCCTTCCCAGCCCCTTCGCCCCATAGCCATCTACACACATTGCCACTTGCTCTCAATCACCTTTGCACCTCCCACAAATGGACAGGGGCACATGCTTTTCAGCTGTATTGTGGCAGTGCTGCGCATGTCTGCCTCAACCAGCCAGGCACCTCTTCTCAGTGATAGCCCAACATGGACAGTAGATACTTAAATGTTTATCGAACCCAAATGAATCCAAAAAGAACTCACTGAATTTTGCATTAAATCTCATCATTCTTTTAAGTCATATGTTTCTGAGTCCTAATAAATATTTTAGCCCTTTCATGAGTAGACTGTTATCGGAAAGGGACTTGCCTTTCTTTCTAGATGTTTAGGTCTTTATTCTGAGCACCTCCTAACAGACCTTGAGTTTACATTCTTTCTAATCAGTATCAGATATTAGAATATTTTCATTACTCCATAATTTCACTTTCTTCACAAACAGCATTGAGGAACTATTATAACACAAGAAAACTAGATTTTCACTGCCAATGTTGGGTTCTTAGTAAGAATATAAGTAGCCCTTTGCCAAACACAGTCTGTACATTTTCACTAGCCTTTTCATTTCTACATATGTGGCTAAAATGAGACAGAGAATGCCTTGATATCATTAATAACCTTTCTCTCTCTCCAAATTATGATTCTTCCTGAGATATTCTCATTCTCTTCTCTCCACACCTGCATCCATGTTCCTTCTCTTCTGTAACCAGAAATCTAGTTCTCTTCTGCCTCCTCTCTTGAGCACTGAACCTATATCCTTCCTAAAAAGTCTCTGCCCTTTCCTCTCTCTCCCAGTGGCCCCCACCAACACCACAGCGCCCCCTTGCAGCCGCCTCTGCCAGTGCACCCCAGACTTCCAGCTGGCTCCAGGAAGGGCAAACCCTGGGAGCTGCTGTTGCTTCTGAAGTTTGTTTATTTGGGGCAGAAAATGAGATATGAAAAGTATGAGAGAACTGCTGTGGACAGGCAATATATGGGTGTGACAAATGTTGGAAAGGAGAGTTATACAATGCCACTGTTACTGGAAAGAGGTCCTGGTCCAGACCCCAAGAGAGGATTCTTGGACCTTGCAGAAGAAAGAATTCAGGGCAAGTCCATAGAGTAAAGTGAAAGCAAGTTTATTAAGAAAGTAAAGGAATAAAAGAAGGGCTACTCCATAGGCAGAGCAGCAGCATGGGCTGCTCGACTGAGTATACTTATAGTTAGTTACTCCTTGATTACATACCAAATGAGGAGTGGATTATTCATTTATTGGGAAAGGGGTGGGCAATTCCCGGAACTGAGGGTTTTTTCCCTTTTAGACTATATAGGGTAACTTCCTGATGTTCCACAGCATTTGTAACTGTCATGGAGCTGGTGGGAGTGTCTTTTAGCATGCTAATGTATTGTAATCAGCATATAATGAGCAGTGAGGATGACCAGAGGTCACTTTCATCACCATCTTGGTTTTGGCGGGTTTTGGCCAGCTTCTTTACTGCACCCTTTTATCAGCAAGGTCTTTGTGACCTTTATCTTGTGCTGACCTTATATCTCATCCTAACCTCCTGGGAATGCAGCCCAGTAGGTCTCAGCCTTATTTTACCCAGCTCCTATTCAAAATGGAGTGTCTCTGGTTCAAATGCCCCTGACACCAGCAGAAACTAGTCAGAGACATGAGGAAGCTCTTCCCTGAGGAGGTTACATGTAAGCCGAGAGATGGAGAATATGTTTCCCAGACAGAGAAGGGTGGGCACAGCATTAGCCAAGGTCATGTGCTATGAGTCAGAAAAGCCAGACCAAACAGGAGGCATGACATTGTGTTTGGATTTCAGGGGAAAAAATATCTATCAAAATTCACTTCTTAAAAAAAGATAGTAGATAAGTATTTAAATAACACATTAAACTTATACCATTATATTGATGTTACCACAGATAACCCCATGATAAAGGTATATACTTTATTTCAAAATATTCAATTTAGAGAAAACAGTACCGATGATATCAATACATAGCAAAAGGAAAACTCATTATTGTACACAAATGACTGATATTTAGGAAACATAATTTTACTGTAGCCATTAAAATATAATTTACCATGGATGGCATTTTGAGATAAAGTTTTTATTTTGGAATAACTAGATTTTACAGAAGAATTTCAAAGAAAGTACAGGGTGCTCTTGTATACATCTCACCGTAACATTTGATTTCATTTCCTCCAACGTTATTATCTACATCACCATGGTACATTTGTCAAAACTAAGAAACTAACATTGATACATTATTATGACATAAACTCCAAATGCATTCACATTTTATGAATTTTCCCATTAATGTTCCTTTTCTGTTCCAGAATTCCATCAAGGGCACCACACTGCCTTTACATGTCACATCTTACTCTCCTCTGGCCTAAGTATCTCAGTCTTTTCTTGTTTCTGATGACTGTGACCTTTTTGAGGAGTCCTAGCCAGGTATCCTATAAAACATACCCCAATCTGGATCATCTGATGTTTCTCATGATTAGACTGGTGTTAGGGTTTTTGAAAAGAAATCACTTTTTAACACATTATTCTGCAGTAGAAAGAGAACAGTATAAGTTTCCAACACCAAAATCAAAAATGGATTTTTTATGGCCTTTGAATCAAAGGGGATCAGAATATGCCAATCCCAAGTATGCCACTTTGGCATAAGAATTATTTTGAACTAAAGCCAATTAAGAAAGATCAGACAGGGCATGCCCCGGTGGCTCACACCTGTAATCCTAGCATTTTGGAAGGCTTGAGGTGGGTGGATTGCTTGAGCCCAGGAGTTTGAGACTAGCCTGGGCAACATGACAAAAACCCATCTCTAAAAAAAAATACAAAAATTAGCCAGGTATGGTGGCACATGCATGTGGTCTCAGCTACTCAAGAGGCTGAGGTGGGAGGATCACTTGAGCCCAGGAATTTGAGGCTACAGTGAGCTAAGATCATGTCACTGCACTGCAGCCTGGGTGACAGAGTGAGACCCTGACTCAAAAATTAAAAAAAAGGAAAAGAAAAAGAAAAATTAGATGTGTAAGGAACACTCCCCTCTTCCTTACTGACTAAAAGAAAAACTAAATTTCCCTTTGTGAAGGTGTTTCTCCTGCCCTCTTTATACTAGGAAGAGAACATAACTCTTATTATTAGAGATGGCATAGACTTGAGTCTGCATAACAAACCTTATAAACAGCCCCTGTCTTCCATTAGTTTTTCCCTTATATTTACCTTCCCATAATTTACCACACCTAGAAGCTCAAACACATTTTTGTTGTTTTGTCACTTCTCCATAATTTTTTGCCTTTTGTTAAAATGGTATATAAACTCCCAGGGCTAACTGCTTTTTGGAGTTTTCACTTCTTTTCTATGAGGCTCCCCCTATACATATGAAGTATGCCACTTGTCTTGTTAATCTGTCTTGTGTCAGTTTAATGTTCAGGCCTGTTACTAGACTTAAGAGAGCAGAGGAAAACACTGCTGAATCAATTATAACAACTGGTAGATTTTGGTGATTATCATTAATTTCCATAGTATTATTTTGTAAATTTTCTAAAAAATAATTCACAAGCATTTGAAACAAACTACATCATATGAGAAGTCATAAAGTGTGTGATTAAAAAAAAAAGTAAAACAAGTTCATTGGTAGCAGAACCATTATGAGGAGTCCTAGCCAGCTATCCTACAAAACATCCTCAATCTGAATTGTCTGATGTTTTCTCATTATTAGACTGGTGTCAGGAGTTTTGGAAAGAAGTCACTTTTTAAGATGTTATTCTGTAATAGAAAGAAAACAGAAGGCTGGGTACAGTGGCTCACACCTGTAATCCCAGCACTTTGGGAAGCCAAGACAGGTGGATCACGTGAGGTCAGGAGTTTGAGACCAGCCTGGCCAACATGCTGAAACCCCATCTCCACTAAAATACAAACATTAGCCAGGCATGGTGGTGCATGCCTGTAATTCCAGGCCAAGACAGGAGAATAGTTTGAACCTGGGAAGTGGAGGTTGCAGTGAGCCAAGATCGTGCCACTATACTCCAGACTGGGCAACAAAGCAAGATCTGTCTCAAATAAAAAAGAAAGAAAGAAAGAACACAGAAAGTTTCCAACATCAAAATCAAAACTGGATGTTTTTATGGCCTTTGAATTAAGCCATTGTTCAGTAAATTCTATTGAACAATGACTGAAAAGGAAAAGATATATATGTTCATTGGGGTTTTGTCTTTGGTCTTGTATCTACGTAGTAAGTGCTTTAATGTTTGGAGGCCAATCTTCTGTTCTCGAAGGAGAAACTCATATTTGTGTGTGGAAGGGATTCCTTATAGAATAAGGGCTTCTAGGTCTTTCTTTCACAGGTGGAGCATCAGAGGAGGGGTACTGAGCAAGCTGTATGGCTAGGGAGTAGTGAAGATCTCTGCTCCCCAACCCCATGCAGAACCTGAAGGTCAGAGTAAGGAAATGTTATTTTTATTCAAACCAGCTATGCATATAAAGCAGAAATTTTTGCTAATCTGAAGTATGCCACATTGGCATAAGCATTCTTTTTTTTTTTTCTTAAGATGGAGTTTCACTGTCACCCAGGCTAGAGTGCAGTGGTACAATCTGGCTCACTGCAACCTCCCTGTCCCAGGTTCAAGTGATTCTCCTGCCTGAGCCTCACAAGCAGCTGAGATTACAGGTCCCCACCACCACACCCAGCTAATTTTTGTATTTTTACTAGAGACAGGGTTTCACCACATTGGCCAGGCTGGTCTTGAACTCCTGACCTCAGGTAATCCGCCCGCCTCAGCCTCCCAAAGTCCTGGGATTACAGGCATGAGCCAGCAGGCCTGGCCGCATAAGGATTCTTTTAAGCTAAAGGAAAAAAAAAAAAAAGATGCAAAAAGAAGATTTCTCAGCATTTGCCTTATCTGACTAAATGCAGAAACTTCTGAGAAATGAGGACTGCCATAAATACCTTCTCCTAAGGGAAGTTTATGGCCATGAAAATGATGAAAAGCCAGCACCAAGATGGACCTGCATAAACAAACCTCACTCCATTAGTTTCCCCACACACTTACCTTCCCACAGTTTGCTGCCCTTAGAGGTCTAAACCTGTTTTCTTTTGTCTTGTCACTTCTCTATAATTTATTTTCTTTGCTAAGATGTTGTGTAAGCCAAGTTCTAAGCACCGCTTTGAGTTACTCATCATGGAGGTGTCTCCCATGGGATGTACACTGCTCAGCACACATTAGTAAACTTTCTCTCGTGTTGATCTTTTGTCGGTCTAATTTGCAGGGCCTCAGGCAGAGGAAAAGTGTTTCCTCCCCTACAGTCTCAAACTTCAGCGTGCATCAGGATCCCCCACAGGGCTTGATAACACACAGATTGCTGGCCACCCCCAGAGTTTCTGATCCAGTAGGTCTGGGTAGAGGTCTGAGAATTTGCATTTCTACCATGTTTCTGGTGATACTGATGTTGCTGATCTCATCCAGAAACCACATGTATACAAGAAAGGACACTATAAGTATGAAGTCACCTCCTAATTAACTCTGGGACCTAGGTCAGGTGATATCTCTCTGGAGTCCTTCTGCTTCTCCTCTCCTAAAATCCTGTTATCTTTTTAGTCTCCCCATGTTTGGCACCGCTGGACAATGTGCAGAGAAGAAAGCTACAGGCCATGTACCCAAAGGCAAGGACCAGCCTTTGTGCTCCTTCGGTTCCTGTGAAAGAAGGACCTGGAGGCAGGGGGTTTATATGGAGACAAGCTCAGCCAGCAGGAGTAGGGGAGCAGGGAGAGCAAGATGGGGAAGGAGAAAACTCCAACATCAGAGCGTGTTATTGTGGCCCCTCGACTCTCTGGGACCTCTGAAAAGGTGAATGCCTTCCAAAATTGTCCACGAGAAAGATGGGAGGCCATGGCATTATCCACCAGCTACACCCCACTGGTCTAGGGTTGTCTGGGGGCATTAGTCCTCCTGTACTTGCAGAGCAAGACAGCTCCCACAGTACCAGTTGAGAAAGCCCAGGGGAGAAGGTAGGTGATTGAGTCATGGCTCTGGTGAGGCAGATTTCCCAGGGGACTGTCCAGCAGCTATAGAAGAAGTCAGAGGTGGACCTAAGGGGCATGAAATAGGCAAAAGTGGGGTCTGCCACCTGGCTGTAAGTTCAGCCAGGGCTGAGAAGGCCCAGATTTTTACAGGTGCTGCAGGCTCTTCTTCCAGGCCCTTAAAAAGAGCTTTCTCCGGGTCAGGTGCCATGGCTCACACCTGTAATCTCAGCACTTCGGGAGGTCAAGGCAGGCGGATTACCTGAGGTCGGGAGTTCAAGACCAGCCTGACCAACATGGAGAAACCCTGTTTCTACTAAAAATACAAAATTAGCTGGGCATGGTGGCACATGCCTGTAATCCCAGATACTCGGGGGGAGGCTGAGGCAGGAGAATCACTTGAACCCAGGAGGCGGAGGCTGCAGTGAGCCGAGATCACACTCCAGCCTGGGCAACAAGAGTGAAACTCCATATCAAAAAAAAAGCTTTCTCCAACTGCACATTCATACTCTTAGCAGCACTATTCGCAGCAGCCAAGAGGTGCAAGCAACCCGTGTCCATCCGCAGAGGTAGGGATAAACAAAATGCAGTACAGAAAAACAATGAAATATTATTAAGCTTTAAAGTGCAAGGAGGGCCAGGCATGGTGGCTGACACCTGTAATCCCAGCACTTCGGGAGGCCAATTCAGGCACATCACTTACGGCCAGGGAGTTCAAGACCAGCCTGGCCAACAAAGTGAAACCCTGTCTCTACTAAAGATTCAGAGTTTAGCCAGGCATGGTGGTATGCACTGTAATCTCAGCTACTCGGGAGGCTGAGGCACAAGAATCACTTGAACCTAGGAGGCAGAGTGCCAACTGAGATGGTGTCACTGCATTCCAGCTGTCTCAAAAAGAAAGAGAGGTGGTGGTGGTGGGCTTCCTTAAGCACAGAATCTGGTAGAACCCACAGCCCCAGGACACAGGCTTGTTTCTCCTTAGCCTCATGACTTTATTTGCCTGTCTGCCACAAGTCCTCATGTTTCACAAGTAACCGTCACTCATGGTTGAATAGGAAGTGAGGCTACAGATCCCCTTTTCTCGAATTATGTTATTTGAGGCCACCTACAATGCCCCTCTTTATAATTCTTTATGCCAAATTTAGCAAAGCCCCAAGGTGAGGTCCCAGGACTGGCATCCTCTGACAACTAGCTAGAAATGCGAATCAGAGTCCTTGGAGTAGGGCCCAGAGATTGAACCCTTGATAAATGTGTGTTTTGACAAGCCCTCCACATGTTTCTGATACACCCCTATGGTTTGTGAAGGATGGCCTCAGATGTCAATTTTTCAGATATGTATTTTGTTAAAGTAGTAAAGAATGGATTTTTCACCTTGCTATGGTTTCCATGTGTCCCCCAAAGTTCAGGTGTTGAAAATTTGATCCTCTATGTGCAATATTGGAAGGTAAGACCTTTAAGAGGTGTTTAAGTCATTAGTTTTCCCGCCTTAAGTGTGAATTCATGCCATTATCATGAAAGTGGGTCTCTTACGAAAGGAGGACCTCAGCCTTCTCTTGCGCACGCTCTCTCTCTCTCCCCCCTGCCCCCCACTTTCTGTGTCCTCCTGTCTTCCACTATAGGATGATGCCGCACAAAGGCCCTCATCAGATGCTGGCCCTTTGATCTTGGACTTCCAAACCTCTATGACTATGAGAAATACATTTCTGCTCTTTACAAATTACCCAGGCTGTCATATTCTGTTTAGCAGCACAGAATAAACTAAGACACACCCCCAATTTAAAAAATACATCATTATGGATTGCCTGCTATTATAATTACTGTAAAATGTTCTTATCACTTATTCAGAATCAGGATAAGTTTCACTGCTCTTTTTGCAAACCACAAGCTAGCAAAATATCTCCCATAAACACTTGCAGGATCCCTCAGCAGACGAGAAATCATTTCATAACATAATCCAAATTCAGAGCCATCTCAGGATAAGTTTCGGAAGCCTCTCCTTGCTGGGCGTATGTTTCTTTACATTGTCTTCACTTACTCTGTCTCTCTCTCCTGGTGACCAGAAATAGAAAGCAGACAGTGAGAAGGTCACAAAGTCCTGCTATACTTCTGGCTTTACAAATAGTCCTGTGAGGAAGACATTTATGTCCTATGATTTGGTAATTCCCCTCTAAAACATGTCCCATTTAGAAACAAAAACAAGGATTGATACTTGTTGATAATAACAACAGAAATGAGAAACAATCTGAATAACCAATGTTCTGGGAATAGCTACATGAATAATGTATATACAACCACACAGTGAAATACTATTAAGTCATAAAATAATGTTTACAGGGAGTTACAGTGAAGTCATAAAATGCTTATGATATAGAGTTAAGCGAGAAAGCAGAATATGAAATTGTGTGTATAGTATGATCTCAAACATGTAAATAAAAAGGATGAAAATATTCTAAGGAAATAGTAAAAATGTCAAAATATTAACAATGGTTACTATAATAATTATTAATTTTTGGTGAAGAGATCGTGAGAATGTTCTTGTCCTTTAAACTTTCTGTGCTTTCTCTGAAGGAATCCATTTGAGTTTCACTCCCTGGAGGAAAATTGACACAAGAATCATTTCTCTTTTTATTCATTGGTTCAAGAAGTTCCGGGTTCCACCTCCAAAAATAGTTTTGTGACTCCTTGGTCACCAGTTAAATTTATATGACAGACACCGGTTGTGTTGTGTGGCTGCCCTGTATCTGCCTGTGTGAACCTCCTTTTTCTCATGGATGAATGTCCCCCATGGTCGCCCACCCCCAGGGAAGAGCCAGGTACTCTGTTGTAGGATCCAGGCACCTACAGCCAGGAGCTGTCCATCCAGGAGAGAGTGATGCGGGAGACAGCAGAGGCACTCGGCCCCACGTGATCAGGACTTGGTCAGTAGCTGCTAGCTTCCCCAAATTGAATTTTATTTCTTTTTTATTTTCATTATCTTTATTCATTTATTTATTTATTTTTTGAGATGGAGTTTTGCTCTTGCTGCCCAGGCTGGAGTGCAATGGCATGATCTCGGCTTGCTGCAACCTCCACCTCCGGGATGCAAGTGATTCTCCTGCTTCAGCCACACGAGTAGTTGCAACTACAGGCACATGCCACTGTGCCCAGCTAATTTTGTATTTTTAGTAGAGATGGGTTTTCACCATGTTATCCAGGCTGATCTCAAACTCCTGACCTCAGGTGATCCACCCACCTCAGCCTCCCAAAGTGCTGGGATTGCAGGCATGAGCCACCACATCTGGCCTTATTAGTTTTTTTGGAGATGGAGTCTTGTTTTCTTGCTCAGGCTGCTCTCTAACTCCTGGGCTCCAGCCATCCTCCCATAGGCTCTCTCATAGCTAGGATTATAGATGCGTACCACCTCAGTGGGCTACTACCAAATATTTGCCTCTGCTTCCAACTCAGGACCGACCTGAAAAAGCCCCATATGCTCTCTAACCAATCCCATAGGATGCTCCATCTCTAATTCATCCACCATGCCAACAGTCTCCAATCAGGGCATCCCCAAAGCTTATCAGCACACAGCTTCCCCACTCCCCTGCCTGCTTTTGAGCCTCTGCCAAGTGCAAGTGATGGGGCATGACTCCCTCATTATACCATGCTTTGAGTCAATAGCCTCTGGTTATTCTCACTGAGGGAGCTTCAGTTACTCCCACCCGGAAAGGCAGTAGGGGGGTAGCTGGGGGACCACAGTGCCCAGTGATAGCTCTGTGGGTGGGTGCCTGGCCCTGAAGTAGTGGAGTGTTCCCTGGGACATCCTATGGTGTAGCTGACACTCTGGCCCTCCCAGAAGCTTTGTGAGCCCCCTAATATTCTATAATAATCCCCTTTCTGCTTCGTTCAGCTAACAGGTACCGTTGGGCTCACTGCCAAGAATGCTGGTAAAATCTAACATCCAACACTATCTGCCTTTTGGGACAGACAGCCCCCACCAAGGTCTGGGTATTGCAGTGGCAGCAGAAAATATGTGCAGTTGAGGTCCAGATGCCCTTCCAGTGCTGGCTGCGGGGGATCTTGCTTTTCTCTGGTGCAGCCTCGTCAAAGTTGGGAGAAGGCCTCAGAGTTCTCAAGGGCAGAGCCTCTGAAGGCATCATGGAGAAGTCCAGATCTTTGCTGTCTTTATGATCCTCAGTAAATGGATCTATTCTCATGATCTCAGCCATCTTCCTCTTTCCATAGGTTGGTTTCAGGCTGAGCAAGAAAATGAGACTCTATCTCTAAAAAACCTAATAAGGGCAGGCATGGTGGCTCATGCCTGCAATCCCAGCACTCTGCGAGGCCAAGGTCAGGCTTGGGGTGATACCTGGCAGCAGCAGGTGTAATCTTACCACCTCAGGCCATCCTGTATGTTCATTGCATTGAAGGGGAATTGACTTCACTGTGGACTTCACTCTTGACATGAGTGACTCCATTTGGAGACATTAGGATCATAAATCATGACATCACTCACATGGGCTACTCTGAGGTTTGTGTTCTGCACTCTCTCCCAGGCTTGCCCAGGGGGACCAGGCAGAGGTGCCTTTTATTGGCTTCCTTCCCTGAGTCACATTTCCACTCCACAGTAGGGACACCTCGAATCACCTCCCACTGAAATGCTCGAACCTGGGTCCTCTCCTCAGGGTTGGCTTCTGGGGATGCCCATACCTTCACAGATACAGAAATTTTCTTTCTTTCTTTTTTTTTTTTTTGAGACGGAGTTTCGCTCTTTGTTACCCAGGCTGGGGTGCAATGGTATGATCTCGGCTCATCGCAACCTCCGCCTCCTGGGTTCAAGCAATTCTCCTGCCTCAGCCTCCCGAGTAGCTGGGATTACAGGCATGCATCACCATGCCAAGCTAATTTTTTGTATTTTTAGTAGAGACGGGGTTTCACCATGTTGACCAGGATGGTCTCAATCTCTTGACCTCGTGATCCACCCGCCTCGGCCTCCCAAAGTGTTGGGATTACAGGCTTGAGCCACCGCACCCGGCCAGATCCAGAAATTTTCTAACTACTTTCTCTGGTGTCAGCTCTTATCTTTTCTAGGTATTCCCCCTGCTTTAAGTACTGGTGATGTTCAGTAAGAATTATTAACTAATCAGTGCACTTAAATTCTGCCCAATTTTCCCACCAAATAAGTTATTTTTGCAGCTGGTGTTATTTCTCAACTCCTGAACTTAAACTTTTCTTTCTCTCACCACCAGAATAAGGAATAGTACCAACAGTACTCTCTTTAGGCCAGGAGTCACAAACTCAGATACCTTCCAGGACCCAGCTGGTAATATTTTTGTGTATAGGGGCACATATAAGGCAACAGGGAGGATGGAACGTGGGACAGCCTGAAAAGGACTGTGACACAAAGTTTATAAAGCCATCTTTCTGGATAAACAAGACAACTGAGGTGGGCCTGTGGGTCGAGATTCCACCTTCTAGATTTAGGTATTTTGTAGGAAACATTTCTTTCTCTTCTGTTTTTTGGGTCTTCCCAAGGACCATGTCTAAAAATGGTCTTACTTTCCAGTCCTGGGCACATAGCACCCAAAAAAGATTTATCATGTTCTGGAACTCCAGTTTTAAATACACTTACCTCTGCTCAAGCAGTCTGATATACTCTGGGAGTCAAAAACATTGTGTTGAATGAGTCTATTTTTACCTCCTAACCAATGCCCTTGTTCAGTGACGCACCCCAACCCTATGTACACACAGGTATTGCTGAGGAGGAGGCATAGGGTGGCCAACTATTTTAGTTTGCACAGGACTGAAGAGGGGCTGGGAGATGTGGGACTTACAATACTAATACCAGGGAAGTTCTGAACAAACCAGGATGAGTCGTTCACCCTAGATGTGGGCCTCAGCAGCCACGTGCATACTGCATGTCCCAACCCTCTACTCTAGCCATAGCTGATAGGACCATAGCAGACACCTGACTGAAGAGATGCCAACCCCTAGCCTTGGCTGAGCCAGTCAGATTCTCTTTCTAGGACTGGAGAGAAACAGGGAATTATAGGATATGGACCTTTTTTTTTCTTTTTGAGACGGAGTTTCACTCTTGTTGCCCAGGCTGGAGTACAATGGTGTGATCTCGGCTCACTGCAGCTTCCGCCTCTTTTCAACAAATGGAGCTGGGACAACTGGATATCTACAGGTACACACATGTTCATAGCAGCATTATTCATAATAGCCCAAAAGTAAAAGCAGCCCAAATGCCCTCACCTGATGAATGGGTAAACAAAATATGGTACATCCACAGAGTGGAATATTATTCATATGTTAAAAAGCAATGAAATAGTCATGTTACAACATGAATGAATCTTAAAAACATTATGCTGAGTAAAAGAAACCATTCAAGCTAGGCACAGTGGTGCATGCCTGTAGTGCCAGCTACTTGCGAAGCTGAGGTAAGAGGATCACTTGAGCCCAGAAGTTTGAGGCTGCAATGAGCTCTGGTTGTATCATTGCACTCCAATCTGAGCAACATAGTCAGACCTTGTCTTTTAAAAAATGTTTTGAAGAAGCCAGTTATAAAAAGCTACATAGTGTATGATTGCATTTATATGAAGTATCTGGAACAGAAAATCCATAGCTATTCATAAAGTAGGTCTATGGATGCTAGAGCTGAGGGGAAGAGAGGAAATGAGGGTTGACTGCTGATGGGTACGAGGTTCTTTTTTGAGTGATGAAATATTCTGAAATTAGATAGTGATGATGGTTGCATTATTCTGTGAATACACTAAAAACCAAGGAATTGTATCCTTTAAAATGGTGAATTTTATTGTATGTGAATTAAACCTAGTAAAGCTATTTTTAAAAATTGGCAGAAGAGGCTGGGTGTGGGGGCTCCTGTCTATAATCCCAGCACTTTGGGAGGCCAAAGCGAATGGATCACGGGTCAAGAGATCGATATCATCCTGGCCCCGTATCTACTAAAAATACAAAAACTAGCTGAATGTGGTGGCATGCGCCTGCAGTCCCAGCTACTCAAGAGGCTGAGGGAGGAGAATCGCTTGAACATGGGAGACAGAGTTTGCAGTGAGCCGAGATCTAGCCACTGCACTCCAGCCTGGTGACAGAGCAAGACACCCTCTCAAAAAAAAAAAAAACAAAAAACCCTGGATTCAATGGATGGCTCATGCCTGTAATCCCAACACTTTAGGAGGCCAAAGAGTGAGGATCACGAGATCAGGAGTTGATCAGCCTGACCAACATGGTGAAACCCCGTCTCTCCTAAATATACAAAAATTAACCGGGTATGGTGGCACACGCCTGTAATTCCAGCTACTCAGGAGGCTGAGGCAGGAGAATTGCTTGAACCCGGGAGGTGGAGGTAGTAGTGAACCAAGATCGTGCCACTGCATTTCAGCGTGGGCAACCGAGTAAGACTTCATCTTTAAAAAAAAAAAAAATCAGCAGAAGAATGCAGCAGACCTGGGTGAAGGAGAAATGACCAAGCAGGTGGCCCATGTGAATGGAGCCACTGAGCCATGCCACAGGTTCTCCAGCTCCATTCCTGTATGGCCAGGGCTGCTGGGTTCCCCACTTGGATGTCTGAGTGACTGCATGGTGAATTTTCTCCATTAATCCCCTCTGACCTGAGCTATTTCAGATGGGATTCTGCTGCTTGTTCCCTAATAATTCCTAGTACACACATAGTTTCTGTCCTTTATTCTGCCTGGCCACCTACAGTTCATGTTGCCCCTTATGCCAGGGGAGGTCAAGGCTCTTGGGTTCAGGCTTTACCCTGGTAGAGAAGCAGCCAAGTGTACTTGCCATCCCAGACCTAGAGCAGATTTGTTCTCAGCATTCACATTTATGATCAACATATTCATGCAGGAGAGACATGGCTGAGTCTGAAAGGATATTGTCAAGTCTTTCCTGAAGATCAACAGTTTTGAAAAAGACAAATGTTCACTTGACCACTTTCCTACATCCATTGGGTAAAGACAATTTGGTGCTACATGTCCCTGATAAGTTTTGCCTTGAAATCCATGTCTTCAGCCACACACGGAGATCCGAGGCAGATGGATCACATGAGGTCGGGAGTTCGAGACCAGCCTGACCAACATGGAGATACCCTGTCTCTGCTAAAAATACAAAAACATTAGGTGGGCAGGATGGTGCATGCCTGTAATCTCAGCTACTCAGAAGGCTGAGGCAGGAGAATTGCTTCAACCTGGGAGGGGGAGGTTGCAGTGAGCTATTGCACTCCAGCCTGGGCAACAAGAGCGAAACTCCGTCTCAAAAAAAAAAAAAAAAAAAAAGGAATCTACGTCTTCCTCTTTTGTTATTAGGTCCTACCTGTATATTATTTGATTCATGTTCCTCTGATTTCCTGCTGTCATATTCAAGACCCACTTGAATATGAATCTGTAATATTATTGCAAAACATTCTTTAAAACTAATTTAAAATGTTGGCTTTCAGAAGTAACCTTCACCATCAGTAAAACAAATCATAAAAAATTTCCTGTTGCCTTGAGACCCTTTGTTGAGCTCATTTAATTCAGCATGACTTTTGTGCTTGAGAGAAAATTGGTTTTCTGTTAAGGACAAATCATTCTGTACATTTTCCCTTGATTGTAGGAGACAGTGCCCAGGTCCTTTTGGGATAATTTTATTCAAACATTTGCAATTTAATAAAAATATAAATGAATAGAATCAGGGAAAAGACCTGTAGCTTCTTTTGCTTTTATTTTTAAGTGATGAACTAATTGTTCAAAATCTTATAATTTGAATATGTGTTGTGTGAAATAAAAATAAGACCCTAAGCCCTCTGACTGACAGAACCAACCCCTCTCTGCCAAGAAGACCCCAGAAAAACTTTAAACACTGAGCTTCCCAGCCATGATGAGACAGGAGGTCAGTCACACCTCAGTACCCCCTACCCAACTGACCACCACTAGACACTTTCCTAAAAGAGAAACAGGCTGGGCATAGTGCCTCACACCTGTAACACCAGCACTTTGGGAGGCTGAGGTGGGTGGATCACCTGAGGTCAGGAGTTTGAGACCAGCTGGCTAACATGGGAAAACCCTGTCTCTACTAAAAATACAGAAAGTTAGCTGGGTTTGGTGGTGTGTGCCTGTAATCCTAGCTACTTGGAAGGCTGAGGCAGGAGAATTGCTTGAAACCAGGAGGCAGAGGTTGCAGTGAGGCAAGATCATGCCATTGTACTCCAGCCTGGGCAAGAGAGCAAGACTATGTCAAGAGAGAGAAGCGGGGAGAGGAGAAGAGAGAAGAAGGGAGAGGGGAGAGGGAAGAGGGGAGAGGAGGAGAGAAGAGAGAGGGGAGAGGGGAGAGGTAGGGGAGAGGGGAGAGGAGAGAGAAACAGAAACCAGCCCTGGAAAGCAAAGAAAAGAAGACTCCCCTTCTCCCCCACTGACCAGCCTGATTCCACAGCCAGACTACCCTCCCTGTTCGTGGTCTCAACATGACTGCAGACCTACTTGCAGGGCGTTCCTTCCTGATGAATGCCCATCGACCAGGGACTGGTCCTGGTCAGGGCTGTGCACAATGTACCTTTGTGTCTTTGGTCTCACCTTTTGACATACAGAACCTAATTTTACTCCATGTTAATGTTAAATCACCACCCCAAAGTGAACATGGGACGTATGTCACAGGTATGTTTGCTCATCATGCATGCTTGAGAACCTTTTTTTTTTTTTTTTTTTTTTTTTCTGAAATAGAGTATTGTTCTGTCACCCAGGCTGGAGTGCAGTGACATTATTTCAGCTCACTGCAACCTCCACCTGCTGGCTTCAAACAATTCTCCTGCCTTAGCCTTCTGAGTAGCTGGTTACAGGTGTCCACCACCGCACCTGGCTAAGTTTTGTATTTTTAGTATAGACAGGATTTCATCATGTTGGCCAGGCTGGGAGACCTTCTTTCATAAATATCCACAGCTTCTCCTATAACCTGTTAACTGTGTATGTTTAGCCAGCCTGTCTAGCATAAAACACCTGTCCCACCCTTTCTCTCTCAAAGTGCCTGTTTTGGTCTCAGCCAGAGGCTCCCTTTCCCAGCCCACAGGTTTAACCCTTCTCAGAAATAATGTTCTCCATTTCAACTTTATAGGTTTTGTGATTTTTAGTTGACAGTTGCCACAGAGAGTATTTATGAGTTCCTGGTAGGGATTGCTTCTCTCATTCCCTTCTCAATGAAAGGCCGGTGTTGGTTTCTTCAGGCTGCCTGCATTTCTACCAGTGCCCTTCTGCCTCCCTCGCCCTGCCGCACCTTGTCCACTACCTGCAGCAGTCATCTCACCTCCTCTTAGGCATCTCTGCTCCCCAAACTAAGTCAGATACTTCTTAAATTCCATATTAAAACTTATGCAAATATCTCTTGGGTACTTATCATATTATATCATAAGTAATGAGAATGTGAACTCCCTGAATGCAAACATTATCCCTTCCTCTTCTTTGTGATCCCAATAATGGACATAGTTCCTGACACAGTAAGCATTCCATTCATGATCGGCCAATCAATAAATAAATGAATGAATGACTGTAAAGATTTTCTTCTGCCATTCCCCAAAACACTTTCATTTTAAACCTTCCAGACAATCTGTGTTTGTCTGCCACTTATTGTGTGCCTCATATGTTTGATGAAATTAGATAATATAGCCAGATGCAGTGGCTCACACGTATAATCCCAGTACTTTGGGAGGCCAAGGCAGGAGGATCACTTGAGGCCAGGAGTTCAAGATCAGTCTGGGCAATGTAGTGAGACCTCGTCTCTGCAAAAATGTAAAACATAGGCCAGGTGCAGTGGCTTGTGCCTATAATCCCAGCACTTTGGGAGGCCGAGGCAGGCGGATCACAAGATCAGAAGTTCGAGACCAGCCTGACCAAAATGGTGAAATCCCGTCTCTACTAAAAATACAAAAATTATCTGGGTGTGGTGGCATGCACCTGTAATTCCAGCTACTCAGGAGGCTGAAGCAGGAGAATTGCTTGAACCTGGGAGGTGGAGGTTGCAGTGAGTTGAGATCAAGCCACTGCACTCCAGCCTGGGTGACAGAGTGAGACTCAGTCTAAAAAAAAAAAAATTAAAAAGGAGCTGGATATGGTAGCAAATGCCTAGAGTCCCAGTTACTCAGGAGGCTGAGATGGCAGGATCACTTTAGCCCAGGAGTTCAAAGCTGTGAGCCACAATCATATCACTGTACTTCCAGCCTGGGTGACAGAGCAAAGCCTTGTGTTCAAAAAGATAAAGAAAGTAAATATGTCCTTCATAATGAAGAGCATTGACTCCCAAAGAAAACGCAGGTTCCGAAGCTGGTTTATGATAGATCATTTACCAGTTAGTTGCACAGTGAGAAAAGTAAGGACCTCTGTCAAGTTTTCATGGAGCTTGTTAAGTAGGAGGCCATTGTTTGGGACTGAGCTCTTGCGTTAGGCCCCAGTAGACCAAAACAAAATGGAGTCACTCTTGCTAAGTGCCACATAATCAGGCTGAAACTTTAAGGAAGCAGGAAAATACAAGAATAGACCAGTTTTACCTAAAAACAGGAGATTCACAGCAACCAATCAGAAAGGGCCTAGTTAATTTGAGCCAGTGTGATAAGAAAGTCCCTTCTGCTTTAACTCTTTCAAGGAAAGTAACCTGAGATAATGTGAGGTTACCAATCTGCTTTTTTGTATTTTTTTGTTTGTTTGTTTTCTTGTTCCTGCTCAAGCTGTTAATGGTAGAAGGTGTCCAGGTTCTTGGCATCTTGAACAAAGAATTGGACAAAACATAAGAAGCAAGGAAAGAAAGAAGCAACAAAAGCAGAGATTTATTGAAAATGAAAGTACTCTCCACGGGGTGGGAGTGGGCCCAAACGTAGGGGCTCAAGAGCCTTATTCCTGAATTTTCTGGGCTTTAAATAGCCTCCAGAGGTTTCCATTGGTTACTTGGTGTGCGCCCTGTGTAAATGAAGAGGAGGAAGGAAAGTTGCCATCATTTTCTCAGTGTATGCCCTGTGTAAATGGAGAGGATATTTCCTGTTATAGCTGAAGTGTTTTCATTTGATTTAGTTCTAGGAAGTCAGCATGAATTGGCCTATGTTCCCTGCCTCCAGATCCTATTCTTCTGCCTCAGAGCTATCTGTTTTAGGCCATTCTTGCATTGCTATAAATTCCTCCTTTGCATCCTTATAGCTCCCACTTATGAGTAAGAATATACGATGTTTGGTTTTCCATTCCTGAGTTACTTCACTTAGAATAATGGTCTTCCATTTAATCCAGGTTGCTGTGAATGCCATTATTTCATTCATTTTTATGGCTGGATAGTATTTCATGGTATATATATACATATATATCACAATTTATTTATCCACTCATTGATTGATGGGCATTTGGGCTGGTTGCATATTTTCATAATTAAAATGAACATGGGTAAATTCACTATCGAAATAAAATGGAATAAAGATTAATGTACAAACTCAAAACCTGTAGAAAAAAACAGATAAACCAATTTTATTTTTCTTAATTGAGATGGAGTTTCGCTCTTATTGCCCAGGCTGGAATGCAATGGCACGATCTCGGCTCACCGCAACCTCTGCCTCCCAGGTTCAAGCGATTCTTTTGCCTCAGCCTCCCAAGTAGCTGGGATTATAGGCATGCACCACTATGCCTGGCTAATTTTGTATTTGTAGTAGAGACGGGGTTTCTCAATGTTGGTCAGGCTGATCTCGAATTCCTAACCTCATGTGATCCACCCGCCTCCCAAAGTGCTGGGATTACAAGCATGAGCCACTGCACCCAGTCAAACCCAAAGTTTTAAAATATACAAACTTTCAACTTATTAATAATATGTTTTATCTTTATAAGAATCAAATATTTGCCTGAAAAAAAGAAAAGAAACATTAAAATGTTGTCAATTGAATAAAAACAATCACTGATATGATTATAAACATTAGTTTTAGATTTAAAATCATGGATTTAAGTCTCAGCTTCATCAGTACCACTGGATGATGTTGGCTAAGTTATAAAATTTCTCTGAGCCACATATCAAGTATAAGAAAATTTAAATAGCAAGAGCAGTCTGAATGAAATGTTTGCTTTGTCATTTGCCTTCGTATGTCCTTGGACAAGTCACTAAATTTCCTCATGCCTCAGTGTCCTCCTCTGCAAAAAAGGGGGTTGACAACCTTCTAGGTTTTTGGTCATGATTAAATCAGTTAACACATGCAAAGCCTTTAGAAGAATTCCAATCCCATGGTAAGCCCCCTCCATAAGTGCTATTGTTCCCTCTCCACTAGGTAACTACCAAATCTTAAATGAGTTTATATACATCAAGTGCTTCACACAGTACCTAGCACGCCAACTCATGATAACTTCCATGATTACCCATCAATCCAGGATTCAGTGTTGCTCTTGTTTTTGTCGTTGTTTTTTTAGATGGAGTCTCGCTCTGTCGTCCAGGCTGGAGTACAGTGGCATCCCAAGTAGCTGGGAATTCAGGCACACACCACCATGCCCAGCTAATTTTTTTGTATTTTTAGTAGAGGCAGGGGTTCACCATGTTGGCCAGGCTGGTCTTGAACTCCTGACCTCAGGTGATCCACCCACCTTGGCCTCCCAAAGTGCTGGGATTACTGGTGTGAGCTACCACGCCTGGTCCAAGATTTAGTTTTGATGCTGACATTGTTGAAAGCTGAGTAACTCCTTCAACAGGTTGAAGGATCACCAACCCTTTGATCAGGCAATACCATGGTGGCTACCAGCACAGTCGTAGCAGTGTTTTAAGGTTAAGGCTTCAGAGGCTTGGTTTAAAGTAGGTCCTTTTATATAGGTGTGGAACCTGACGAAGCCTATGCAAAATTTGTACTTTAATAGGTACAGAGAGGGCGGGCACCATGGCTCACGCCTGTAATTCTAGCACTTTGGGAGGATGAGGCTGGTGGATCACCTGAGGTCAGGAGTTCGAGACCAGCCTGGTCAATATGGTAAAACCTCGTCTATCCTAAAAATATAAAAATTACCTGGGTGTGGTGGCAGTTGCCTGTAATCCCAGCTACTTGGGAGGCTGAAGCAGGAGAATTGCTTGAACCTGGGAGGCGGAGGTTGCAGTGAGCCACCAAGGTCACTCCACTGCACTCCAGCCTGAGCAACAGCGTGAGACTCCATTTCAAAATAAATAAATACGTGTGTGTGTGTGTGTGTGTGTGTGTGTGTGTGTGTGTATAAACAGCCTCTGTTCTTAATTTAGCTGTGTGACTGTGAATGTTTTCAGATTAGTGTCCTTTAGTACCATTGTTTTTAGTCAAAGCAAGCCTTTCTAGAGCTTATGAAAGCAGGAAAACCAGTGGAATTGAACTTGCATATAGGGACAGGCATTGGAAGCTCATCGTGTCTTCAGAGACCACACCTAAACACAAGAAGACAGATGACAGTGCTCATATATCTCAAAGAAAACCTGTTCTATTTGTTCAGAAATGTATCTATGAGATTTAATAGGGCTAGCAGTTAAAGTTATAAAACATCGATTGTAGTTTAGAAAAGTGCAGATGCCAAACACCTTTGAGATAGATGTCCCTGGGACCTCTAGTTGCCATTTCTGCCTCAGTCAAAATGTTGGCGAGTGAGCTCATGTTCCCAGGTGTAAGAGCAGGCCCAGGGAACACATGGCCACAACATGGCTGAAGCTTCAACAGGAGCTGCAGTGATACGCCTTTGTCACAGCTGTCGCTGTTGCCTCTTCCTCTTCCTACTCTTCCTAAGACAGTTCCTGATCACGTATTTCTTTTTTTTTTTTCACATATTTCTTATATATATATATATATATATATATATATGTAAACATTTATCAGACAAAATCATTAGCAAGCAGTGGAGAAACTGTGTATACAATCTGTCTGGTACGCTCAGTGCCTCTGTGTTCCTCTGATGCTTCAACCATATCTTCCATAAATGGTTCTCTTTAGGGAAATGCAACAACATCCTAAAAGCATAATTGTTTACTTATAGTCTGCATCAGGCAATTATAAATCTTCACAATCAATTCCAGACTTGCTAATCCAAAGAGCCATTCTGAAAGGTAGGAGAATTAATACAGAGTTTACCAGATTTTTTTTTTTTTTTTTTTTTTTATGACAGAGTCTTACTGTCTCCCAGGCTGGAGTGCAGTGGCACAATCTTGGCTCATGGCAACCTCCGCCTCTCAGGTTCAAGTGATTCTCCTGCCTCAGCCCCCCAAGTAGCAGAGATTACAGGTACGTGCCACCAGCCTAGCTAATTTTTATACTTTTAGTAGAGTCAGGGTTTTGCTATGTTGGCCAGGTTGGTCTTGAACTCCTGACCTCAGGTGATCTGCCCACTGCAGCCTCCCAGAGTGCTGGGATTACAGGGGTGTGCCACTGTGCTTGGCAAGTTTACCAGATATTATGCCCTGTTTATAAGAAAGGAAATATCCTCAAAATATTTAAGACAGTTCACATACTATATTGAATGCCACTAATTTCAATGACAAGAGTCCGTTTCTCACATTCCTCATATTAAGCCTTTAGGGCTAACAGGAATAGCTTCTCAAGTGCTTACAGTAGCTGCTGTGGGGAGTGTGGCCTTTATGGTTAAACACTAGCTGATCACCTCTACAATACAAATTCTTCTTAAATAAAATTTTGATTTAAATAACAAATGAGATATAAGCTCCATGAAGGTCAGCATTTTTGTCTGTTTTGATGATTGCCACATCTAAAATAATGCCTGGTGAATAATGAGGGCTCAAGTATTTGTTGAATGAGTAAATATCACACTGACATTGCTGAAATATTGAAGCAAGTTACAGACATTATAAAAATAAATGCTTGGCCACAAGCATGCTTACTGTAACAGTAATAAAAAAATAGGCTTGAACTACATAATCTTTAATTTCAGGAGGTCAAGAGTTTAAAAGAAAGGGGGAGATAGCCAAGTAGGAGAGCCTGCCTGCCAGCTTTCCAATAGCTGGGTGTTATCTACTTTTCCTAAGACTATATCAGCCTGTTGACCATGCCCTGTCTTTTCATCAGAGTCCCATTTAATTTAGAAATTAGACTGGAACTTAGAGCCAGTAAATACACTGTGGGCCTATATTTCCTGTATATCTTTTATATTATGGCCTCCATGCCATCTAAGGACATTTCATTCCTTCTCTCAAATCCTTCCCCACTTTTAAATAATTTTCTTTTGAATTCATAAAATCCTCACCTTATTAATCGTCATATAATTTGTATCATATTAAACCCTGATTAGCCCTTGAAATGTTAAAGAAAAGACACTACTATGTTCTTAATGAATACTGAAAACCTTTCAGTACAAATACTTTTATATTCAGCCCCTGTAAAACCATCAGATGTTAGAAAAGTTTTTTTTTGTTTTGTTTTGTTTTGTTTTTGAGACAGAATCTCACTCTGCTGCCCATGCTGGAATGCAGTGGTGTGATCTCAGCTCACTAAAACCTCTACCTCCCAGGTTAAGGCAATTCTCCAGCCTCAGCCTCCCGAGTAGCTGGAATTACAGGCAGCCACCACCATGCCCAACTAATTTTTTTTTTGTATTTTTAATAGAGATAGGGTTTCACCATGTTGGCCAGGCTGGTCTCAAACTCCTGACCTCAGGTAATCTGTCCGCCTCGGCTTCCCAAAGTGCTGGGATTACAGGCGTGAGCCATCGTGCCCAGCCTGATGTCCTTATAAAAAGAGGAGAGGATACAAAGGGACCCACATTGGGAGGAAGGCAAGGCCACGTGCAGATGGAGGCAGAGATTGGAGTGATGCGGCTGCAAGCCAAGAAGTGCCTAACATTGCCAGCCGCCTCCAGAAACTGGAAGAAGCAAGGAACCGTCCCGCTTTAGGGCCTCCAAAGAGAGTGTAGCCCGGCCCACACTGTGATTTCATACTTCTAGGCTGGGAGAAGAGAATGTGTTTCTATTTTCCTAAGCCACTCAGTTTGTAGTAATTTGATATGACAGCCACAAGAAACTATCCTGCACCTTTTGATGTGGCATGGCATGTGTGTGGGCTGGAAGACTCTCAGCGTTCTATATTGTCGATGTGGTGTCAGGCTTTGTTTCCTTCATACGCAAGGCAGCATTTCTTAAAGCACAGAGCAACGGCTTAGGATATTCATTTAAAATCCAGATGTATGGGCATCATTCTGCTCATGGAACCAGTATTCCCAAAGATTGGCCTCAACACTAGCTGTTTAAACAGGTATCCCAGGCAACAGCTCTTTAGAGCTCTCTTTAAGGTTCTGTAAGGGAGGCAACCTTACCATGTGATGCGAATTCAAGGCCAACATGTCTAAAAGCTGCCTCTCCATGTAAGGGCTGCCTTGAAATCTCACTGTCAAGACCTCAGTCATTCAGCTAATAGGGAGGATTAAAAAGCAGAATGCCTCTGCAGTTGAGCCAGATGCTTTTGATCTCTTCCCAGAGAAGACCATTTATCCAAATTCTTACATCTCTAACTCAAAGTGCTTAATGCAAGTATACTTTAACAGATCTCTACTCCAAGATTCCGAGAGATAAATGGCAGGACTTTCCTTGGACACAGGTCTGTGTTGGAACTTACTAGATGAGAATTTCTGGTGCAAGCTACTATCAGTCTTAAAACCTTAGTCTGAAAGGAGGCTGTGGAGAGACGGAAAGGCTGCTGTGTGGATCACTTTCTTTGTGAGCAGGAGGCTGCCACTTACGCCATCTAAACTAGTTCTCCCTTCTGAAGAATGAGGACTCAAACACCTGCCCCTCCTACCTGGTAGGGGCTGTCATGACCCTTGCAGGACTGTCATAACCTCCCTTGGGACTGCCAGAGGGATCCTGTGCATCAGGGTTGGTTACTCCCGAGGTTAAGTCCCCAGGCACTGGAGCCCTGTGGCAGTCCCAAGGGAGGAAAGACCATCTGCTTTGCTGCTTGCCTGGAGTCCTCACTGTGTGGTGGGCTTTTGAAAACTGCTGCTAACTAACTGTGGCTGACTTGCTTGGCTGCTCTTTTTAATTATTTGCTTAGGGGGGTGACTCTTTTGTTCCGTATAAAATTAGTTTAATATTCAGAATAATCAGCTTCTATAAAGTAAAAAAAAAAAAAGATCTTAAAAATGCAAATTTCCCTCCCTGTTCTTCTCCCTTAATCCCAAGCATCCACAACACTTTGAAGGAGTTTGATAATGATCTAACAAGTGACTTATAGGCTCCTGGAAAACTTAAATTAAATACAAATAAATCTGTAAAATTTAAAACCAACCCAAGTGAAAAAAATCAGAACTGTGGTTGCTTTTCTGGGATAGGTGGGGATTGACTGGAAAGGTTGCATGAGATAATTTTCTTTTTTCTTTTTTTTTGAGACGGAGTTTCGCTCTTGTTATCCAGGCTGGAGTGCAATGGCGCGATCTTGGCTCACCGCAACCTCCGCCTCCTGGGTTCAGGCAATTCTCCTGCCTCAGTCTCCTGAGTAGCTGGGATTACAGGCACGTGCCACCATGCCCAGCTAATTTTTTGTATTTTTTTAGTAGAGACGGGGTTTTACCATGTTAACCAGGATAGTCTCGATCTCTTGACCTCGTGATCCACCCGCCTCGGCCTCCCAAAGTGCTGGGATTACAGGCATGAGCCATCACGCCGGGCCTCAATTTTCTTTCTTTCTTTCCTTCCTCCCTCCCTCCCTTCCTTCCTCCCTCCCTCCCTTCCTCCCTCCCTCCCTTCCTTCCTCCCTTCCTTCCTTCCTCCCTTCTTTCCTTCTTTCTTTTTTCTTTTCTTTTTAGTTTTGCTCTTGTTGCCCAGGCTGGAGTGCAATGGCACCATCTTGGCTCACTGCAAACTCTGCCTCCCAGGTTCAAGTGATTCTCCTGCCTCAGCCTCCTGAGTAGCTGGGATTACAGGTGTACACCATCACACCCAGCTAATTTTGTATTTTTAACAGAGATGAGGTTTCACCATGTTAGCCAGGCTAGTCTCAAAATCCTGATCTCAGGTGATCTGTCCACCTTGGTCTCCCAAAGTGCTTGGATTACAGGCGTGAGCCACTGAACCCGGCTACATGAGGCAATTTTCTAGGGTGATGGTAACATTCTGTGTCTTGGTAAGTTTGTGGTTACAAGGCAAATGCATTTGTCAAAATCTGATGAATGACTGTGCATTTCATTGTATGCAAATTTCACATCCAAGGTAAGAGATGGATCTAGCAAAATGTTCCTTTCCTACCTCATGAAAACACCACCTTTTGGCATACATGAAAAGAATACTGTCACCTGACAGAAATGGGTTCATTTGCCCATGCAACAGAAAGCCAAACACCAAAGCACCAGATTTTTTGCAGGGAGAAAGGGTCATTGCCAGGCAGCCAAGCAAAGAGTCAGGAGTCAGGCTCAAATCTGTCTCCTCATACCAGATTTACAGTTATGGATTTGAGGGAAAGATCTTGGAGGTGGAATTTTAAAGCTAGACAATGATTGGCTGCAAGGAAGCAGAGTTTGGCAAGTCCCTGGGTATGTGCAGTCACCTCTTCATGCCTCTTCATGGGTCACCTATGCAAATTTGGGGGGAACTGGTTGTGACATCAAAAGGTCACTCACTCATTGGCCAGGTGCGGTGGCTCAGTCCTATAATTTCAGCACTTTGGGAGGCCGAGGTGGGAAGATCACTTGAGGTCAGGAGTTCGAGACCAGTCTGGCCAACATAGTGAAACCCTGTCTCTACCAAAAAAAAATTACAAAAATTAGTCAGTCGTGATGACACATGACTATAATCACAGCTACAAGGGAGGCTGAGGCAAAAGAATCACTTGAACCTGGGAGGCAGAGGTTGCAGTGAGCAAAAATCACCCCACTGCACTCCAGCCTGGGCAACACAGTGAGACTCTGTCACACACACACACACACACACGCACCCTGTCTCACACACACACACACACACACCCTGTCTCACACACACACACACACACACACACACACACAGTCACTCATCTGGCCTCCAAATCTATGCTGTGTAGACTCCAGTCAGCCATACTGGTTCCAGACTGCTTCAGTTAGTTTTGTAGGCAGAAAGGATTGTAGCAAACTGTTTCTTTATCTGCCCTCCTGCAAGACAAGCTTAAGATTTCTGTAGGTTACCAGTTTCTTTAACCCTGTGGAGCACTGTCTCAATACCATGCTACTGAATTTGCATTAAAAAGCATAGCCTGAATCCCTGTTTTCTAGCCACCAGGAGGCCTCAGCACAAAAGGCTCCTGATGGCGTTCATAAATTTCTAGCCCCATCAGAATATGAGCAAGGTCCGGTGTAGTGTAACAGTCACTAGTCTGGGTTCTGGAGCCTGACGCCTGTTTTTCAACACCACCTCTACCGCTTCTTGTGATTTGGAGCAAGTAACTTAACTTCCAAGCCTTTACTCATTCATAGAACAAGAATAATAATTGTGTCTATATATTAGAGTTGTTGTGACGGGTATTAAATAAGAATTTAACCCAATGTATAATGCATAGTAATCACTAGAAATCCTTGGCTATTGTCACAGGTGATTGTATTAGTATTTATTAGACTTCAAAGTCTGTGTTTGAACAATCCAAGATGGCCGATCGCTAACATCTCGGGATTGCAGCTCCCAGTGAAACCTCAGAGAAAGAGAGGACGTCACACTTTCAGACAAATTTTGGTCACTCATGGAGCAGAAGATTCCCAGTGGAGGAGCTCCATGGGTCGCCAGCGCAACTCTTGTGGCCGGCGCAGCGGTTTCACCAGCACCTCGGCGCGGCAGCTCTCGGTGCAGAGTAAACGGGACTGGTTCCCCTTCTGACCGAGGTTTGGAGGAGCCAAACGGGTCGCCAGCGCAACTCTTGTGGCCGGTGCAGTGGTATCGCTGGCACCTTGGCGTGGCAGCTCTTGGTGCAGAGTAAACGGGACTGGTTCTCCTTCTGACCGACGTTTGGAGCTCTGGGAAGGCAGAGTCGCCTATTACGGACTCAAGAAGGAAGCCAGACTGGAGTTTCCCAGGCAGAAAAGCACCATCAGTCTTAACGCCGCTGTTTTGGCTGGTGCAGTGGGTTGCTCATATTTCGACCCTGGGAATTAACAACTTGGATGTCCACTCAGAGACCTAATTTGAAAGTTGGTAATTACAAAGACGACAGGTGGATAAATTTACAATGATGGGAAGAAACCAGTGTAAAAAGGCTGAGAATACTCAAAATCAGAACGCCTCTCCCTCTAAAGAGGATCACAGTTCCTCATCAACAAGGGAATAAGACTTGATGGAGAACAAGTGCGTTCCAATAACAGAATTAGGCTTCAGGAGATGGATAATAAGAAACTTCTGTGAGTTAAAAGAACATGTTGTAGCCCAATGTAAAGAAACTAAGAACTTTGAAAAAAGGTTTGGTGAAATCCCAATGAGAATAGACAACTTAAAGAGGAATATAAGTGAATTAATGGAACTGAAGAATACAATGCAGGAACTCCGAGAAGTATGCACAGGTTTAAACACTCAAATTGTTCAAGCAGAAGAAAGGATATCAGAGGTCGAAGTCCAACTTAATGAAATAAAACAAGAAGACAAGATTAGAGAAAAAAGGATAAAAAGGAATGAGCAAAGTCTCCAAGAAATGTGGGACTATGTGAAAAGACCAAATTTACGTTTGATAGGTGTACCTGAATGCTACAGAGAGAATGAATCCAAGCTGGAAAATACCCTTCAGGATATTATTCAGGAAAATTTTCCTAAACTAGCAAAGCAGGACAATATTCAACCCCAGGTAATACAGAGAACACCACAAAGATATTCCTCAAGAAGAGCAACCCCAAGGCACATAATCGTTAGATTCACCAGGGTTGAAACGAAGGAGAAAATACTAAGGGCAGCCAGAGAGAAAGGTCAGGTTACCCACAAAGGGAAGCCCATCAGACTTACAGCAGATCTCTCAGCAGAAACCCTACAAGCCACAAGAAAGTGGGGGCCAATATTCAACATCCTTAAAGAACAGAACTTTCAGCCCAGAATTTCATATCCAGCCAAACTAAGCTTCACAACTGAAGGAAAAATAAAATCTTTTATGAACAAGCAAGTACTCAGAGATTTTATTACCACCAGGCCTGCTTTACAAGAGCTTCTGAAAGAAGCATTACACATAGAAAGGAACAACCAGTATTAGCCTTTCTAAAAATATACCAAAAAGTAAAGAGCATCAACATAAAGAAGAATTTACATCAACGAATGGATAAAACGGCCAGTTAACATCAAATGGCAGTAATCCCAAATTTAAGTTGACTAAATCTCCCAATCAAAAGATACAGCCAAAACCCAACAGCATGTTACATCCAGACCCATTTCACATGCAAGGATACACAAAGACTCAAACAAAGGGATGGAGAAAGATTTACCAACCAATGGAGAGCAAAAATAAATAAATAAAAAGCAGGAGTTGCAATTCTTGTATCTGGTAAAATAGATTTTAAAGCAACAAAGATATAGTGGTAAAAGGATCAATGCAACAACAAGAGCTAACGATCCTAACACCCAGATTCATAGAGACTTAGACTCAATGAGACAGAAAATTAATAAGGATATCCAGGACTCGAACTCAGATGCGGAACAAGTAAGCTTAATAAATATTTATAGAGCTCTCCACTTCAAATACACTAAATATACATTCTTGTCAATACCACATCACACCTACTCATAGGTTTAAATGAAACATTGGTTGGCCATTATTAATACCCATTTTTTTTTTTAGAATAAAGCATTTCCGTTCTCTCTCCCTCTTTTTCTTCCTCTTTCTTCCTCTCCTTCACTCCTTTCTTTTTTCTTTCCTTCTCTCAAAAAAAAAAAAAGAAATCAACTTATAGACCTCTAGATCCAGGTTGGCAATGTCTCTCTCATTGCTTGATTTCCTTCCTTCCCTTCTTTCCCTCCCTTCCTCCTTTCCTCCCTTCCTAAAAAAAAAAAAAAGTCTGTGTTTGCTTGGAAACTGCTTTTTTTAAATTAGGAACAGAGATAGTAACTCATGTAGTGAAGAAATTATGTCTATTTAATTCTGTGCTGTCATAACCACTTTTAGAAAGGTGCTTGCAAATAACAAAACACCCTATGTGGGTGTATATATGTATATTTTTTTTGGCGGCGGGGGAGACAGAGTTTCGCTCGTTACCCACCCTGGAGTGCAGTGGCGCGATCTTAGCTCACTGCAACCTCCGCCTCTTGGGTTCAAGTGATTCTCCTGACTCAGGCTCCCAAGTAGCTGGGATTATAGGAGTCTGCCATCACAACTGGCTAATTTTTTATGTTTTTAGTAGAGATGGGGTTTCGCCATGTTGGCAAGGCTGATCTCAAACTCCTGACCTCAGGTGATCCACTCTCCTTGGCCTCCCAAAGTACTAGGATTACAGGCATGAGCCACCACACTCAGCCCAACACCCTATATTTTATATAAATATTATACTATGGGCTGACTTGTGTCACTTCAAAATTTATATGTTGAAGTCCTTAGCCCCTCAAACCTGAGAATGTGTCTGTATTTGGAGGTGAGGATTTTAATGAGGTAGTTAAGGTGAAATGAAGTCATATGAATGGGCTCTTACCAAAAATGATCTTATAAGACAGGGAAATTTGAACACAGACATGCACAGAGGGAAAGCATGTGGACACACAGGGAGAAGGCAGCCATCCACAAGCCAAGGAGACGCCTCAGGAGAAACCAACCCTGCTGACACCTTGATCGTAGACTTCCAGCCTCCAGAACTCTGGGAAATAAATTTCTGGGTATTTAAGCCACCCAGACCGTAGTACTTTGTTATGGCAGCTCTAGCAAACTAATGGAAGTGCATATTAATAAATGATTTATTGGCCGAGTATGGTGACTCACGCCTGTAATCCCAGCAATTTTGGGAGGCAGAGGCAGGCAGATCACAAAGTCAGGAGCTCAAGACCAGCCTGGCCAATATGGTGAAACCCTCTCTCTGCTAAAAAAAAAAAATACAAAAATTTTCTGGGTGTGGTGGCATGCACCTGTAGTCCCAGCTAATCTCGAGGCTAAGGCAGAAGAATTGCTTGAACCTGGGAGGTGGAGGGCATGTATCTCTAGTCCCAGCTAATTGGGAGGCTGAGGCAGAAGAATCGCTTGAACCTGGGAGGTGGCAGTTGTAGTGAGCTGGGATTGTGCCTCTGCCCTCCAGCCTGGGCAACAAAGTGAAACTGCATCTCAAAAATAAACAAATAAGTAAATAAATAAATAACTTATTAAAAGATGAAGCATGGGCCAGGCATGGTGGCTCATGCCTGTAATCCCAGCACTTTGGGAGGACGAGGTTGGCAGATCAACTGAGGTCAGGAGTTCAAGACCAGCCTGGCCAACATGGTAAAACCCCGTCTCTACTAAAAATACAAAAAATTAGCCGGGCGTGGTGGTGCACACCTATAATTCCAGCTATTTGGGAGGCTGAGGTAAGAGAATCGCTTGAACCTGGGAGGCAGAGTTTGCAGTGAGCCGAGATCACACCACTACACTTGAGCCTGGGTGACAGAAAGGCACACTGTGGCCAGGTATGGTGGCTCAGTCCTATAATCCCAGCACTTTGGGAGGACTCTATCTCAAAAAAAAAAAAAAAAAAAAGATGAAGCATGATTCAGTGACCTTTTAATTCTAAGCACATGATCTGTCATTTTAAAAAATGCAACATTGCATTGAAAACAAAAAAAAATGAATATGTTAAACAAATAGAACAAGTCACAAAGCAAGCTTCAGTTCCCAGGCTAGATTTCGCATTATATGATTCAAATTTCAATAAGTAGAAATTTTTGGTTTCCAGAGCATTGTTTCAAATTTCCCACTGAAGACATGTTATTCTTAAATTGGATGAGAACAAGCCTAATTTTAGCTCAATATCTACAAGAGGTACAGGCGCTATTGTAATTTGCAAAGGAAATGAGCTGGGAGATTTCAACAGCATGTGCTTAGGGAGAACACAGGACAACACAGAGCCCACAGTGACTGCTGGTGTGTTTATTAACCATCTCCTCATTTTCTGCTTTCTTTTCTTTTTTGAGAAAAAAAAAAAGAAAAGAAAGGGTCACTCTGTCAGTCAGGCTGCAGTCCAGTGTCATGATCACAGCTCACTATAGCCTCAACCTCCTTGGGCTCAAGCAATCTTCCCACCTCAGCCTCCTGAGTAGCTGGGCCTACAGGAGTGTTTTTGTATTTTTTTGTAGAGATGGGGTTTTGCCATTTTGCCCAAGCTGCTCTTGAACTCCTGAGTTCAAGCATTCCTCCTGCCTTGGCCTCCCAAAATTTTGGGATTACAGGCATGAGCCACTGTGTCTGGCCTTATTTTCTGTATTTTTGATGGTCTGGCATTTGGGGCCTCACTGGCTAGGTAGAGTCTAACCCTCTCAGGGATGACTAATTGCTAGAGATAGCACACAAGTTTCCTTTGATCTGAGTGTGCCTTTCATCTGAGTGAGACTTTCTTTTTCTTTTTTTTTTTTTGAGACAGAGCCTTGCTCTGTCGCCCAGGCTGGAGTGCAGTGGCACAATCTCGGGTCACTGCAACCTCTGCCTCCCAGAGGTTCAAGTGAGTCTCCTGCCTCAGCCTCCCAAGTAGCTGAGATTACAGGCGCCCACCACCATTCCCAGCTAATTTTTGTATTTTTGGTAAATACAGGGTATCGTCATGTTGGCCAGGCTGATCTCAATCTCCTGTTCTCAGGTGATCCAGCTGCCTTGGCCTCCCAAAGCGCTGGAATTACAGGCGTCAGCTACCGTGCCCAGCCACATTTATCTATTTCTGATTACTCCTAGGCTTCCAGAGGTTTCTCATTGTGGATATGGTCAAATTAGAGAATGAGAAATGTGAGGCCAGATTATCCCAGAGGAAGCCTAGGAAGCTGTGGGAGCAGGATTCAGGAAGACAGAAGATCCAGGTACCAGGTGTGGTCGTCACCAACCATCCTAACACCTCTGTGCAGTGATGGTATATCCAATCCCAGTTTCAACTATTCAACACTCAAAAGGCAAAACTCAAGAGAGAAAAGTTGCTGGGAGGAAAAGTAGGTTTATTCAGAGAGCCAGCAAATGGAGAGCAAAGTGAACTAGCATCCTTGAGTGCCATCTTAAGTCAGTACAAAGTTTAGGCACTTTTTATGTGGAGAGGAGGTGGAAGAGGAGGGGTTTGGGATCAAGAGGTGACCAGCAGGCCACTGCAGACATCTGGGTGCCAGCGAGGGTCTGAGGAGGCACTTGGGAACTTCTTTTTCCTTGGTCAGGTCACGATGCTCCTATAAACCTTTAACAAAACATAGTTAGTTGTTTACATATTTCTCCTTTAATCCCAGAGTTAGTTTTTAAAATTAATGCGATTGCTATGTTTACATATTATCTCAGTGCTCTAAAATTATCCTGGCCTATGTGCAAGAATCAGGGGTAAAAAAGGCCCTTAAACAAAAATGGAGTGAGTTCTGTTAGTTCTTTTGCTGTTTCACTGCTACAATGGCCTTTTGGAATTACAGTCGCCTCATTTAGCTAGGGCCTGATTTCATAACTGGAGGTCTTGGTGGATAGGAATCTTCAGGAGAAATATCTAATTTGGTCTGTATTGATGTCTTCAAGCATGAAGAAAGGCTTGAAGGAAAACAGGCTGTTCCTAACCTGCAGGAGAAATGGATCATATTAACCCGGAGCCCTGGAAATGCTCATTTCGGGAGCTGTCCTTCAGGAGGTCTCAATCACAGAAGGTCTTGCCTTTTAAGTTTTCTCATCTGAGAATGGCCTCAAAGGGGCAAAAAGGGTCTTGGGACTCTGCCTGGCAGCAAGTCCATCTTCAGCAGCCCATTCCCACCTCCCCTCACCCCTCCCAGTCTTCTTTCTTTACCCCACGTAACTCCGTTGGCCCCCTGCCAGCCGTGCTGTCCATATATGAACAGTGCTCTACTTTGGTGGAGTAAAAAAGGATCTTTAATTTTTAAAAAAATTATTACTCGTATTAGTACCTTGTGGCTCACACCTGTAATCCCAGCACTTTGGGAGGCCAAGGCAGGTGGATCAGTTGAGGCCAGCAGTTCAAGACCAGCCTGTCAACATGGAGAAACCTTGTCTCTACTAAAAATACAAAAATTTGCTGGGTGTGGTGGCATGCACCTGTGATCCCAGCTACTCGGGAGGCTGAGGCAGGAAAATTGCTTGGACAGAGGAGGCAGAGGCTGCAGTGAGCGGAGGTTGCACCACTGCACTCTAGCCTGGGCAACAGAGGGATACTCCATCTCAAAAAAATCCCAAAGTATTAGTATCTTGATATTTTTTTCTATCTCTAAAGGTTTGCTTAAAAATACACACATAGGCCAGGCGCGGTGGCTCACGCCTATAATCCTAGCACTTTGGGAGGCTGAGGCGGGTGGATCACGAGGTCAAGAGATCAAGACCATCTTGGTCAACAAGGTGAAACACTGTCTCTACTAAAAATATACAAAAATTAGCTGGGCATGGTGGTGCGCGCCTGTAGTCCCAGCTACTTGGGAGGCTGAGGCGGGAGAATTGCTTGAACCCAGGAGGTAGAGGTTGCAGTCAGCCAAGATCATGCCATTGCACTCCAATCTGGGTAACAACAGTGAAACTCCATCTCAAAAAAAAAAAAAAAAAAAAAAAACCACACATATAGCCAGGCCCAGTGGCTCAGCCCTGTAATCCCAGCACTTTGGGAGGCTAAGGTGGGCAGATCACCTGAGGTTGGGGTTCAAGACCAGCCTGACCAACATGGAGAAACCCTGTCTCTACTAAAGATACATAATTAGCTGGGTGTGGTGGCACATGCCTTTAATCCCAGCTACTTGGGAGGCTGAGGCAGGAGAATCACTTGAACCTGGGAAGCAGAGGTTGCGGTGAGCTGAGATCGAACCACTGCACTCCAGACTGGGCAACAAGAGTGAAACTCTGTCTTAACAACAACAACAACAAATACGCACATCTATATTAGGGAGAAGACTACATAAACACTCAAAGACATAAAACAAAAATGATGCAACATCAGATATTCTTCAGGAAGGCAGTGAGGGTAGGATCCACCAGGCCCAGCCTCCCAAAGCTGTCCCCTCTGCTCCCCGCAGCTCCTCCACGGGTTAAGCTGGCTCCACTCTTGTATTCTTTCCATCATTGATTCAAACTCCATGTCCTTCTTCTTTGACTCTTTCCAAATTTCAAACTGCAGCCCTGATGGATTCTTTCTTGTAAGAAGGCTGCTCTTCCTGGCCAACCTGAAAAGCTTCCCAGCTCATTACCATAGCAACGGGAGCACGCTGCTGAAATCTGCAGCACCAAGTGGCTGGCAGCGCAGCCCCCACACACCATGATTCAGATGGTAGCCACCTCAGGCCGCTAAAGGAGCAACCTTTCCTGAGCTCATAGACATTAAAAATAGGGAATGATAACCCTTGAGCAATACTACTTGCCTCCAGACCTCTCTCTCCTGTGTGTGACAGGAGTGAGTTTTTCTCTTTCACTGCAGAGGAAAATCTAGAGATGGTTCTGTCTAATTCCACACAAAATAGTGACTCACTATACAGGTCAGGAGGACCCTCTATTCAGCGATCACCACCCCTCTGAGGGCTTAGACCTACCCTGCACCTCAGGACACTCACAACCGGGGCTATGGAAAGGGGGGATAGGTGAGCTGTTTGGGACCAAACACAATTTGGTGGCTGATACTGGCACGGTCCTCCCTCACAGTGCATGGGGTCTTCTGGCTGTGGAGGGAAGTGACCCATACCAAGAAGGAGAACGGAGGTTCTGTGGCTTAGGCAAGCACAGGGCTCACTCAGATGGTGACCAAGTGGGCAGCAGGCCCTGAACAGGCCTTGAAAAGGCCTGTGTCCAGTCTTCTTCTCAACCCAGGAAATCCTTTTTAGAGTCACTGCAGCCTCCAACTCCAGGCTTAAGAGACCCTCCTACCCCAGCCTCCTGAGCAGCTAAGACTACCAAGCTGCCAGCTAATTTTTTGTAGGGGGGTAGGAGTGGTCTTGCTTTCTCCACTGGCTGATCTTGAATAGACTTCTTTCAAGGCATTCCTTCAAAGTCTTTTTCTAACTACGTGAATCCCTCCATTTCCCCCTCATGCCCTTGGCCCTGGGGCTTTTAAAATTCAAAGACCAGTAATTAAACCTGTTTTTCTTTCTGCTCATCCCCAGTGCTGTCCATATGCTTATGCAGTGCACACAGACTGCCTAGTTAAGGGGATTATTTGAAGCTACTTTGTGCAGGCTGGTGGAGTCTATAGGTCCCTTCGTTTAATTTTATTTATTTAATTAATTTATTTATTTTTGAGACAGACTTTCACTCTTTTTGCCCAGACTGGAGTGCAATGGTGCGATCTTGGCTCACCGCACCCTCCAGGTTCAAGCAATTCTCCTGCCTCAGCCTCCCAAGTAGCTGTGATTACAGGTATGAGCCACTATGCCTGGCTAATTTTGTATTTTTAGGAGACACAGGGTTTCTTCATGTTGGTCAGGCTGATCTCGAACTCTTGACCTCAGGTGATCTGCCCACCTCAGCTTCCCAAAATGCTGGGATTACAGGCTTGAGCCACTGCACACAGCCAGTCCCTTCATTTTAAATGCGTAAAAATAAAAAGGAAACCAGTCATATTAAAAGACAAAGTGTCACTCTCTCTATATATATATGTTTTGAGACGGAGTTTCACTCTTGTTACCCAGGCTGGAGTGCAATGATGCGATCTCAGCTCACCATAACCTCCGCCTCCTGGGTTCAGGCAATTCTCCTGCCTCAGCCTCCTGAGTAGCTGGGATTACAGGCACGCGCCACCATGCCCAGCTAATTTTTATGTATTTTTAGTAGAGATGGGGTTTCAACCATGTTGACCAGGATGGTCTCGATCTCTTGACCTAGTGATCCACCCGCTTCAGCCTCCCAAAGTGCTGGGATTATAGGTGTGAGCCACCGCGCCCAGCCCAAAGTGTCACTATATTAAAAAACAAATGCGTGATATAGTAATATGTGTGCTTAATAAGATCAAGTTTTCTTATTTCAAATTGTTGATCTGCATACGTATTATTTTGAAACATGTGCCACCAATCCAAAGTGCTATGAAAATGTCTGTGTTTTCTATTGGTTGCAAAGTCGCAAATACTGTGGAAAAGGCCAGCTGTCTATGTTAAAATGGAAGGAAATGTTAGATTTCAGTTAGGCATTATACCAAAAACTGTGACGGGTCTGAGATTTTACCCTACTAGGAAGGGTAAAAAATTGGCATGCAACAGTTTCAGGGATGCTGATAGAAGACACAGGACTCCTGGGTCAGACATAAAAGACCGTTTGCTACAGCAACAGCAGCATCCAGAATATCAGCATTTGCGGTGGTTCTCTGAGCCCCATTTCCCACAGGGTCATGCAAAGATGGCTAGATGATCCCTGCACACACTGTGGGTTGCGTTACATCATTTATGTTAACATGTAATTGATGTATGCTTTTAAATAAATTAATCAACATTTACAATTTTTCTCAGTTTTAATTTCTGTCTTTTTTCTTTTTTTGAGGCAGAGTTTTGCTCTGTCGCCTAGGCTGGAGTGCAGTAGTACAGTCTTGGCTCACTGCAACCTCTGCTTCCTGGGTTCAAGCAATTCTCCTGCCCCAGCCCCCTAAGCAGCTGGGATTACAGGTGTGTGCCACCTTGCCCAGCTAATTTTTGAATTTTTAGTAGAGATGGCGTTTCACCATGTTGGCATGGCTAGTCTTGAACTCCTGACTTTAGGTGATCCACCTGCCTCGGCCTCCTAAAGTGCTAGGATTATAGGCATGAGCCACTGTGCTCGGCCTCAGTTTTAATTTCTAAAGTTAGTAGATTCACATGATCAAAAACTCTTTGGGTTCACTGAT